CAACAGAGATCCAAACAGTGAAAGACCATACTTGAAGAATGTCCTTAGGACCAGGAAATCACGACCACCTGGCCGGTGGTCTTGCTATGCCTGGCGCCGTCTGTGTTTTTGCAGCATGTACGCCGCTTCTTTGCTTGCTGTCCGTGCACTACATTTGTACCACATTCCTGCGTGCACTGCATTTTTACTCGAACGTACCAGTTCAGTGGGCGTGCAAAAATGGGCCGCTGGCTGTTTTCTGCCACTTGCCCCGCCCCACTTGCTGTGGTCCTTTTTCGTTGAAAGCAATGTTGCCCCACTTGCCCCACTTGCCCCTGTGGAAGCGCTAAGCGCTTTCTGCCACTTGCGCTTCCACTTGCTCCCCTTGCTCCTGCAGATCGGGCAGGTGGCAGCCTGGTTTGAGTCAGACTTGTGGTTGGCCCCTCCTTGCCGGTAAAGCCACGGCAGCGAGAAGTCTGCCTCAAGTCACAGACCGGTTTGAGGCAGACTTGTGGTGGGTCAGAGCCTGCCCCCCTTGCTGCTAAAGACTGTTAAAGGCATGAGGCAAGCGAGGCAAGCGGGGCAAGTGGGGCAAATCGGGCAAGTGAGGCACGTGGGGCAAGATGAATTAGCTCTTCCGGGCCACCAAGTTGGGCAAGTGGGGCAATGTCAATTAGTGGTGGCCGTGGGCGCACGACACCAGGAGAGCACAAAGAGGACCAAGACGACAACAAGCAGGGGAGACCACCGACAGACCAGCACGGCACCAGGACAGCACCCAGAAGATCACAAGACCACCAGGAGAAGAGACCACCACAAGCGACCACAGGAGACGACCACGATACAGGAACACCAAGAGATCATCAGGAGACCACCAGGGAACCATCCAGAGAACACCCGGAGATCATCACAAGACCACCCCCGACGAGCGCTGCAACCAGGGCGACAACCTACCAGGAGACCCCAGACCACCAGACCACCAAGAGACCAGCAGGAGAGCAAGGAGACCAGCGATGACCAGCGGACCACCAGATGAACTCACTGAGAACCACTCCCCGAACGCTTTCTGCAACTATTGGTGGGACTCAGGACAATTCGGGAGCACCACGGCATCGCTTTCCCACAGGTAGTGGTGAGTCCAGGACCATGCGATTCAAGGGTTCCGAGTGCCAAAGTAGTGGTCCATGTAGTGTTGTTTACAATGAATCCTGGTCCCGGGGCGCGCGTCACACGAATCCTCCACAAGGACTACGACGCAGCCGCAATGCAGGGAGAAGCCGCGAGCATCCTGTGCGGATAATGGGGCGCGGGACCAGATTTGCAGCCTTTAGCTTAATTCATATGAATGAAACCACGATGATGCTGGACGAGTTTGCAGTAATCTTTTGCTTATTCGGCCGGGGAAAGGTTGCAAAGCATGTCCTTAAGCCATTGGAGTTGGGCGTTCAAGTTTGCACGCGACATGCTCTGGGTACTCTGAAATCTCTACGGGATTATCCCGTATTGTTTCCGAGTAGCAGCTTGCCACGAGACTCTGTAGTGCACGAACCATGTGCGCTTCAGCATCAGCTATTTGACCTTGGACTACCAGGCCCATCCCCAAATTGAAAGTCATTGTAGCAATTTCCATTCGTCGCTCGAGGGAGGAAGCGGCAAGGATCTCTTCGTGATGCAATGCTTCCCGCAAAAAAGCCAAGGCATCATCCACTCGTTCTGCAACCGATTGTTTGAGGATGCACACTCCAAGATTGGTGCATGTTGTTCCCAGATCAATAGATTTACTCTCCAACCGCAAGTCGCGGCACTTACGTATGACAGCCTCTGCCTCCTTGAGCTGTCCATCATCAATTAAGCAACTCCCAAGATTGTGCAAAGCGACTTCCTGCAGATCCGCCCGCCCGACAACAGATTCCGACTCCAACAGGAGCTGCAGGCTTGCAATCGCTTCCTTCCTCCTGAAGGTCTGTGCAAGAAGATTTGCTCTGGCGATGACAGTGCCAGGACCACAGCAGCCGCAATCTCGCGCTATGTCAAGCATTCTTTCCGCTTGCAAAAAGCAACGCCGTTGCATGTAAATTGATGCCAACAATTCACAGCCCAGTCCTGCCTGCTCGCTACCTTCCTCGGCTTTGATATGATGAAGATATCTCTCAGCAAGAGTTTCTGCTTCAGAGTACTTCCCGGCTTGAAAAGCAGACGTAGCTTCGAACGCGAGCTGCAACAGTGCCTGTTCGGGGGACAAGTGCCTCAACTCGAACAGTGTCTCTTGGAGCCTCTGAACACAATGGGTGGATCCTGAATCCATACTCAGACTTAACTCCGTGATGACTCGTGGCAGCAACTTCCAGAGCTGGTTCAGTAACTTTGTATCGTCTTGGCATGCCTTGAAGATGTCGGCGGAATCAGCAAGCACCCTACCGGCATCATGCCAGCGGTCGACGTTGGCGTACAACGTGCCAAGATAGAGCCAACTCTGGCCCACACACACGTGGGCTTTGCCATGCAGATGGATTCGTCTGCGCAAAGCTTCCAAGTACTACCTTTCAGCTTGATCAACGTCCGCTTTTCTGGCTGGACTGACTTCCATGGCCAGAGCTCGCCTCTCGTGCACCTGCCCCAGGTTGTTCAAGCATGTCGAAACGAATGTGTGAGGGTTCCCCAGACTCAAAGTCCAAGTAGCCAAAAGGTTCTCTCGAAGGGCGAGCGCAGCTGAGAAGTCACCATTGTGCAACATGGCCTCGGACATCTGCAAAATAGGCTGAATGTCCTGGCTGTCCTGGCTGTTCCAGAGAGAGCTACTGCATGTCTCCTCCGCCTGCCTGCCAAGAGGATCTAAGTTAGCCGTGCGAATGGCCAACGTTCCAGAATCATCCCCAACAATTCGCACTTGCCATCGTTCTTTGTCCTCTGGGTTGGTCCATATTACATTATGTTCGTATATAGGGTCCCTGTAAAACACATCTTCTTGCATACTTAAGCAGCCCAGAGGCCAACCCGGTCCTTGACATAGCGCAGACATTGAGCAACTTGACCATTCAAGGCTGGCCTCGATGCCAGGTCTCGCAGTCGGACGAAGGAGTCAGGTCTGAGGCTGAAGCTTGCCATCACCACGGCTGCATAGTAGAGTACACTGTAGCGATGAATAGCGATAATGATAACAACCATAACCGTCAGCATCATGATGATAATACTGGTTCTATGTTAGAGTATACTAAAGCTTATGATGGCACATTAGGTTAGAGTAAATTATGGTATACTGTAATATAAGCAAAATCACCTCCACCACCTCGCAGGTTTGAGCTCGAGGCGGCTCGCCAAAGTTTGTTTTGTCAGATTGGGTAGTCGTGTGTCGCTTACAGGAGGATCGACCCAGCTTAAGTTCAAGCCTGTACATTAGGTACACGCTTGCTCTCCTCGAGTTGCCTCGAGGCTTTGCCTTTTGTTAACCGGCCTGAACCGCTGCAGTTCAGCCAACCTTTCTTCATCTTGGACTGTCTGCGCGCGATAGACGTCGGGCTTAAGGTGGCATGTGAGGTATCACACCAGCAATGGCAACACAGGAGCTTCAAAAGGAACAATGGCTACATGAGAACCTCAAAGTATGACTCCTAAGTCACATGCGATGTCATTCGCATGTAGACATTCGTATCCAGAGTCTGAACTGATCGACGTTGGCCACGGACCGTGCCGCCCTGGAGCTTCTTTTACAAACTCGCAAAGTGCCTGCTCAACTTCTTTGGCGTTGGTGTCGAAAAATCATTGAAGGCTTGGCCAAGTCGATGGACCTGCCAGCTCAGTGATCCAGGCCTGAAACGTGCAGATACGAGGCATCTGGGCAGTCTTCTCGCTGCACGTGCCCCTGCTTGGCTCTGGCTCTTTGGCTGGCTTAGTCACGCACTTGACGCTAGTCCTCCTCGAGCAAGTGTCCATATTCTTCTTGGATGCGCTCCAGCAAAAGCTGTCCGGTCCTGGAACATTCATCCTGCGTTCCTTCGATCAACTTGAAAAGGCCACGGCATAAAATAGAAACTCGTTCACCTGCACCTTTGGCACTGCGTGTTCCTGGCTCTCCTGCTCTTCGTGTCACTAGCTTGTAGATGCTGCGCACAGCATCGCCAAATTCCGCAGTGCTGCCGACCGTCTCATCAGGTGAGTCTTCGACAAAGCACGCAGAGAAAGCAATCAATGCACCCTTCAGATCACGCAGTTCCTGCGAGTCGTCCTGCTCACAGAGCAAATTCAGCTGGTCTTGCCAGTCCTGGGTCTCCAGCTGAATAAGATATGACTGCCCGAAATCGATGCTTTGAGCTGCGAGAAGCTGCGAACCAGACTCCGTCAAAATGTTAACTGAGCTTGTCTCCAACACATCCACCTCTCTCTCATGGCGGAGCTTTAGAAATATGCGCTCTTGAAGTTGACTTATGGTACTTCCCGGCGGCATCGTTCCAACATCCAGAACCTCTCCACTCATGCGCATGCGGACCTGCGGCTTCATGGCGCTCGACCTTTGGGGTCTGTGGTGTAGCGAAGCCTTCGAAGCTCATGCCTTTCCGCCTTCAGCATCTACAGTGGCGAAGAGTCTAGAAGTAGACTGCTAGCTAGGTCATGAAGCTTTGGGTTTAGGGCTTGTTGACTCGCATTCGTCGTTCGGGCTGTTCTCGGGGTTTCCATAGGAGTGCTTGAATCTTGGGATCCAATTGGCGCTGAAACAATTCGGGGCAGGTTCCTGCTGGAATAAAATCCAGGGTTTTGGGTTTAGGGTTTCAGGTTGGGATGTTTGTTCCCCCTCATACTAAGAGCCCTTAATCGGGATTGTAATACTTCATATTATAGATAATCCTGTTTAAGGACTGTCAGTGTAAGGGGGAACATCTCAAGATTCAGGTTCCATGTGCCTATGTGGACACAGATTTGCCTTGAGGCTGCTCGAAGAAGCCCCTTCAAAAGGAGCGGTGGGCTAGGCACATGGACCCTGCGGTCGGGGATGAAGCGCTCAGGTTGTGGGACTCACGATTTGAGACTGAAGATGTCGGGTCTCGGGGCTTAGGGTACATGCTGAACAATATAGACCCTAACCTCCAAATCAGAGACCCTGACGCCGCCTCTCGGCTTCAACACGAGCGGCCCAAATAATATATATATATATACGCATACATATATATATATATTCATATATGTGTATATAGATAAGTCAAAAAGATAATTAATTTCTTCAGAGACTCTCATGAAAAAATAACAAGAGAAAGAAGACAACAAGATAAAACAACTCTATCTTTTGTTAGTACCCATGCTATAGAAAAAGAAGAGATTGAAATGATAAAACTTCCATAGGTATTCATGATTCTCAATATTCATTATCTAGAAAATAAATATCAGAACAATCCTAAAACTCATAGATTCAACGATGTTCATTATTTTTAAATATGTGGTTAGAGAAGCGTTTAGACCTTCATGATTTAGAGATAGATAAACTAGAAGGGGCATACGTTCATTGCTTGGAGATAAGTAGTACAAGAAAATTTAGTTAAGATTCTTCCAAGTGTCGACTTCATGGTTCTTCGAGAATTTCGAAAAAAGAACTGAGATGATATTTTGGGAAATAGTCATTCAATTACGAATTTCATGACATGAAAATGAACCGATCTCATCATGATGTGGATCTCTTCTGCGTATGCAAATATCTTTCAGCCTACCTCAACAGATTGGGTTTTTTTTCAGACATTTTTTGAGGTGATAGGGACCCTTCGACACTTCCGTGTGTCAAGTTTTATTTCACTACGTGCCGGACCGAAGACATCGAATGGATAGCTCATGAAGTCATGAAGCTTGATTATTGTAAGGTACTACACGCGTGCCTGCGTTGCTGTTTTGGCTTCCTGCAAGCAGTCGCGCAATAGTCACATCTCCGAAGCTTGATGCCCACTGAAGAGCTGTCTTGCAACAAATCGACGATACGCACCTGATCCCAGTGGCACGCATGATGCAGAGCAGCCATGCCGTTTTGGTCAGGCCGGTCTCTCTCCATCCCCATCTCCAGCAACAAGCACGTAATGTCCTCATGCCCTCGAGCAGCTGCCCACAGAAGCACTTCCTGTAGGCGGGGCGTGCAGGTGACTTCGGCGTCCTTGGCTGTGACCTCGGCCCTTTTTTTTTCCTCAGTAGCAACCGCACAATTTCAACTCCCGGTCCAAGGCCAGGTGAACTGCCGCCTGGCGTGATTCACCAGCCGTCAGCCGCAGCATCCAACAGCAAGCGAACCAGTTCCAAAAGGCTGTCCTGCGTTGCGAGGTGGAGAGCAGTGCGGCCACCATTGTCGGCCAAACCAGTGTCGGACCTGGCCTCAAGAAGCAAGTGTGCGATTCGAACCTGCCCGGCCCAGAAAGCTTCGTGAAGAGCAGTCGCGCCGTCCCGAGATGCACAGTTCGGATCCTGAGCTTTCGCCAACATAGTCTCTACTTCCGGCAACTTGCCAATCCGTACAGAGGCGTTGAAGCTCGACACTCTCAACGGCGATGTGCTGCACAAGGGCAGCAGCACCAGCTGCAAATCAACGGCCGATTCCAAGGCAGCCTGAGTTCTCAAGTGAAAGGCCAACCAAACAAATCATGCGTGAACCCTTGCATTCTCACCGCGCTACCACAATTCAGGGCTTGCGGGTAGGTGCAATCTCAAACCCAAGCTCTCGAAACCCAACACTCAACGTTGAATGGCCCTCCACCCCGCTCCCTCCCCGAAGCCTTCCACACCAAATTCTCAAACAAGCACAAGAATCCTTGGCATATGCAGGAGGGTTTGTATTTCTTGTATCCCAAAAAGGACACCCAATATATACACTCACCAATATGACAAAGGAACCTTGTATACACTTACCAACCACTGCAAGAAAAGCCCTGCTTCATATGGGAACCTTAAACAACGAACCGGGCACGATGCTTTGGGATGTTCCGCCTTATACCTACAGTCCTTGATATGGACTATAGTAACGCCTATGAAATCCCTATTCAGGACTGTTAGTATAAGGGTGAACATCCCAAGCGATGCTAGTAATTAGACCGTAATGTGACCCTACACCCTACACCCTACACCTTAAACCCTAAACCTCAAACCCTAAACCCTAAACCCTGAACCAGTAATGTGTGCGCAAAGCCGAGCTGCCGTCTCGTCCAGTGGCGAGCCCTCGAGCAGGAACCTCTGCCTGAAACGAGGCTCTTCTTCATGGGTTCCCCTACTACCCCCCTCTATACTACCCCCCCCTAGGTTCCCCCCATAATTAAGGCTATTTAGGGATAGTTAGGCCTTAGTTAAGGCTATTGAAGGGGGAACCAAGGGGGGGGGGGTAGCATAGAGCGGGGTAGAAGGGGAATCCATAGCTTCTTCAACTCGCTCGCCTGATGGTGGTAGGGCTTAGGGTTGAGTCGCTCACTCTCGCACAAGGCAGGGGCTCGTCGGTCTGTTTAGGGTTTTGGGGGTTTGGGGGTTCGGGGGTTTGGGGCTTGAAAGGGCCTGGACAGACGGGGGGGGGGGGGGGGCTTGGAAGGTTTGCAGGCGCCCGATGTGAAGCTACAGCTCTCGCCCTGGGAAAAACGCACACGCGCGGCGCTCAACAAAACATGGTGGGTTCTCAACATTATGGTATTTTTGGGGGTGCCCTAAAATATTGGGCTTCCGCCTTCTAATCGTAACCTCCAACAGGGACCCGAATTTAGAATCCCCCACATCACCCAAAAAGGGGCCCGAATTGAGAGAATCCCCCCCCCACATCACCTCGCCGATCAACCTTAATTTCACCAAGGTCTGGTTCTAGTGGGCCCTGAACTTTGGGTCCCTGGCGAATAGAGCCCTTATGTACACTACACAGAATGAGGGCCTATGGTTCCAACCTTAGACTGGTTTAGTTCAATTCAGCAAGATACAACACCTTAACAGGTTCTGTAAGGCGACTGCTACTCCCTGTCCCCCTGTCCTTCCATCCTCTCCTCCCCACTTCTCCCTCCACTCCTCCCCTTCCCTCTGATCCCCTCCTCCTGCTGATGCCTGAGTGCTTGCTACTGCGCTTCATCCGCTCAAGACACTGTAAAACACAAACTCTCTACTGCCATCGATCGCCCAGTCGCACTGTGCACCTCCTCCACAGACATCGCAGCCAGCTCCTCCCCAGAAGCCGCCCCGAACACGCGCAGCATTGCGGGCGCTGGCCATGACAAGCTTGCTCAATCCCAGAGTAGAGAGCTCCTACGTTTAAGGTTTTTTAACGTTAAAAACCCTAAACCCTAGGTTTTTTAACGTTAAAAACCCTAAATGCTCCTAGATTCCTAGCTCCTACCCTGTAGTAAAACTTGTATATGCGCTCGCAAAGGAGGCCAATCTCGGTCGACGTGATGTGGTCTGGCGGAGGTGCCCGGGAGCTGAAGCAGAAGGGTTTAGGGTTTAGGGTTTAGGCTTCAGGGTACAGTTTCGGGCTGAAGCACGACCGGTGACATTGCCACTCGGCAAGCTGATTCGTCTTTGGAATTGTTCAGCTGGGGATTTTTGTTGATGAGCAGTGGTCTTAACAGTCTTAACAAGCTGTGGCATACTCATCTTGCTGATGGTAATGACCACAAGAACACGAAGCTTGAAATCAACAGGAATCAGAATCGCCGACGCCAGCAAAATGAAATGGTCACGGCAACAACAACAAGCTTCCGGATGTTCCCTTCCAGCGCCGCTTGCTTTCCACCTTCTTCGTGCGAAACCCCAGTTCAAAAAAGGGTGGATCAGCAGCACTCGTAAGTGGAAGTCCTAGGCCCAGAACCCCTTAACAGACAGCGACCAGAAGCAAGATGACCAACCCTCCCCTTCAAGTTTCTGAGGGTGCTTTGATTATGGTTGATACGGCCCGAATGTGTTCAGGATTTGAAAAATCATGCCAAATAACTAGCCAGCTCATCAAGTGGAATACTGCGGCACTTGCGTTCATGCCTCGGCCGTATCCCGGCTGCTACCAGATCCTCTTTGACAACATCTGCAAAGATTCAAAGCAACAAGCTCATTTTGCCCCAGCCCGCATGGTGGGAGGTTCTCGTGGATTCCGAAGGTGAAACAACATGGTGCGCCAGACGGGGTGGAGGCGGCCAAAGAATGACGAGTGAGGCTTGTGCCTCTTTTTTGGGGGGATTCCTCGCCTTCCTGTTGACAGAGTCCCTGTGACAAGGACTGCCAAAGGCGCCTGATAAAATCCGCCCCGTGAGTGACAGGAACCTACGAGTAGGATGGGCAGCGGTAGCCTTCCGACTTCGTTCGTTGGATAGCTTAGGGTTTAGGGTTTCGGGTTTAGGGTTTAGGGTTTAGGTGACGGATCGTGGTCTGAACACTCTGGAAAGGGGAAAGCTGGGGACTGCTGGGGGTGAAGGGCCTCCACTACGGAGGGATTCTAAAGGCTAAACCCTAAACCCTAAACCCTAAACCCTAAACCCTAAACCCTAAACCCTAAACCCATTTGAGTTTGCATACCATGTGGAAGCCGATGGAGTGAGAGCTACATGCATTGCATGTCAATGGAAACCGGGATCTTCGGCCGTTGAAGGGCCCGGGCATGGCCCTGGCCTCCCAAAAAGCCGCTCAACACACATGTTGTGACGAGTCGAGCGACGGAACACGGAGGCGGGAGAGGTGATGATGAGGGTTGAGGGTTTATAGGGTTTAGGGTTATTACGGTTATTGATGGTTGTTGGGGTTATTCGGGTTGAGGGTTGAGGGCTAGGATGGGCTTTATCTCTGAACTGCCTCAGAGCATCCTCTAGAGTGAAACAGCGGAAAGGCGGGTAGCAGCACACCTCAGCACACCTGCTTGCGCGCTGTGGAAAACACCCTCAATGCCGCTCTCAGAGAAATCTATAGAATACTCAGCTTAGTTTGCATGATAGGGGAGACCGATCTCCCATATCATCTGGCCAGCTTATCTGACATCCGTGACTGAAAAGTGCTGTACGCATCCATAGGCAGCACAGGTGAAGACCGCTGATAGAACGCCAACAACCATGGCACCTACCAGCGACACTGACATGAGATAGTTAACCGCACCGCTACCTGCTGCCATAAGCAGGATCGTTATCAGGAAGATTAGCAGGCTCACAGAGAGGTCGGAGACCCGTGTTGCACCAGGGGAAGACCATCGGCTGCAGAGGCTCCACATGACCTTGACACAGAACATCGACCAGAAGAGTGTGACGCCAAGCCCTAAGCTGATGAACGCAGCGAGCACAGCATCAACCGGCGCGCCGGCAACGATCATGCTTACAACCACATCGATGGCCATGCAGAATGGGCTTACAGCGATGAGAAGTGCATAGCTCATGGGGAGGTCCAGGCCAGAGGCTGCAAGCAGCTCCCTCCTCAGCGGTCCACGGACGTACTCATTGAAGGCTTCCTCGCTCCCGTACCAAGAGGCGATGGCCAAGGACACGAAGGCCCTGTCCGCCTCCAGGTGGCACTCGGCGTCCTTCACGTCGAAGTTCTCCAGGGACTCAGTGAGTTGCTTCTCCTCCCTCATGAACTTGCGGTTGGTGTGGGCGAGGATCAAGAAAGGCGCCATGGCAAGATTTGCAAGGACAATGATGCCATGGCCGGTTCGCACGGCGATGTAAGCCCCGCAGCAAAGACCACTCGTCAGCATGAGAAGCAAAACCTGGCTCTCGACGAAAAGCGGTTTGAGGTTCAAAGGCCTGGACGGGTTTGCTTTGCGAAAGGCGGCGAGCTCGAAGACACACCAGAGGCCTCAGTAGTGCTCTCTTGTTTTTCTTCTTTCCATAACCGCCTACTGTAGCTGTTGAATAACATCGAAAAAAGGGAAGACACTCGTTACTTGTTGGAGGAAAATCCTAGGGGGATTCCTCAAGCGGACTCAAGCGTGTCAGGGTTTAGGGTTTAGGTTTAGCTTTCAGGACGAGTTTCTGGCGCAAGAAGAGCATAACTCATGGTAACATTCGCTGGAACCAGCCGACAGCCCAGAACACAAAATCCAAGCTGACAACGATAAACATACGTTACCATACCGCCCGACATCCCGTCAGAGTTCTTATGTACTGGCATAAGTACTTTAAATTCGCAACAGGCAATCCTAAACCCCAGGCCCTGAACCCCAAACCCCAAACCCTAAACCCTAAAATTGGCCTAACCCCTGAGCACTAGACGCTCAGGGTCACTTCGAAACACTACGAGACCAAGAATTCGGCGCATTCCGGAGCTTGGACCCTGAAACCCGCGCAGGCCTAGGGTTTAGGGTTTAGGGTTTAGGGTTTAGGGTTTAGGGTTTAGGGTTTAGGGTTTAGGGTTTAGGGTTTAGGGTTTAGGGTTTAGGGTTTAGGGTTTAGGGTTTAGGGTGTTAGATGGTTTTAGGGTTTAGGGTCACCCCAAGCTTGCGGGTTCTTTCTGTTTTGGAGTTTGTAAAGTTTAGGTCGCCTCCTAAAGATCCTGCGCGGAGGTCTGGGGTCCGTTCTTGGGTTCACTACTTTTCGGTTTAGGAGGGGGGCAGCACACAAAGCACGTAAACCCCAAAGCTGTATTCTTAAATCGTCTGGGCGCGGGTTAGGTATGGCGCCGACCACAGAACTCGCATCTCCTGCGAAATGCTAAGGAAGCCTCCCAGGCCGTAAACGCCTCGCTGCTTCATTGTCTTGTCTGTCTGATGAATGCTGACCACATCGAGGAAAGCTTTCGAGGAACAGCGAGTGCAGATGCAGTAGGGAGACATGAAGAGGGAGATGAGCGTTGTCAGCGTGCCGGTGAGGTAGGCCCAGGGGGTAAAAGGACAGGAAGCCTTGAAGCCAACGGCATTCACAGGCCATGTTAGCTCCACCATTGGCAGCATGCCCCTAGCACTGAGGAGAACCACCAAAGTCACGAAGACAAAGAGGTTTACCCCCACCGTTCGCCCGCCGTACTGGAAGAGCAGCGACAGGACCTTCCTTCGACCTGGTGTTCTCCAGGTGTGTGAGAAGAACACGTCGAAGCTTCGGACAGGTTGCGCCTTGCTCCATAGATTCGTCCGAGAGTCTTCTTCCAGTTCTAGGGGCGATGTCTTCCACAAATAGCCAAAGTCCCGGAGTGTGGAGGCCACGGGAATACCCCGTGCCAGAGCCTCTTCCACTTGAAAGGTAATTGCGCGCTGGACCATGGGCAAATCGCTGCTCATGGATGCGACGACCATCTCCAACTCAGAGCTTAAGGAGCTGTGTTTGCTCCGTCGTGAACTCCGTCGTGGTATGACAATCGGAAGGTCATGCTCGGACCCGAATGAGGGCCATACGGTGTGCTGGCTAAGATGGCTATTCTGGCTGGGGAAGCTCTCCAAGTCGTCTTTGTCTTCTTTCTCTTCACTATACCGCACAGCTCCGACAACTTCGGCGGGCACCTGGCCCTCCCGGTTCTCGCAGCAGGAGCTTGCGTTCACACCCATGGCGCAGCGATTGGCACACCGTGCTTCTTCCGTAGGCCGTAGACAAAAGCTTGGGTTCCTATAACGCTTAAAGACCCTCTGTAGGGTGGCTCTACATCAACAAATGTGTCCTGACAGTTTGGGAACACGTGTTGCCACTTGTTTCTGGCCCGATGTCGTAGCTCCTTGGGTGCTCGGTGCGACATCACAGGCATGACAAGCTATTGATGTGACCTCCGACAGTCCGACAGTCAGGACTAGTCACTATGTCAAGGGTAGCTCCTAGCGAAAAGTACTGCCAATGACCATTTTCATTGAATTCCCATTCCATCTGGTTCTAGCACAGCCCAAGACCCACTCCATTTGCTTCTAGCAGCGCCCGTGACCCTTTCAGTGCTTGTAGCATCGCCCAGTTTGGCGATTCCAGTTGCTTATAGCACCGCCAAAGACCCCTTCCATTTGCTTAAGCACCGCCCATGACCCTTTGCATGTGCTTGCAGCACCGCCCAATCCCCATTCCATTTGCTTTAGTACGCCCATTCCTTTTGCTTCTAGCACCGCCCAAGACCCACACCATTTGCTTATAGCACCACCCATGACCTTGTAGCACCGCCCATGACCCGCCCAATTCCCATTCCATTTGCTTCTAGCACCGCCCACGACCCTTTCGATTTGCTTATCGTAGCACGGCCCAATTCAAATTTTGTCACAAAGGTTCACATTCCACCCCCTACCCCCTACCCACCCCTTCCCACCGCCTGCCAACCCGTACTGCCACGATGCCTTGCCGCCAGCCCAAAACTTTCCAGAAGCCCCCAAAACCCCCTCTACCCCGACTCCCTACCCGTTATTTTGGTGAGCACGCGCTTCCCCCCTACCCCCGCCTAGAAAACCCCTACTACTGCGTGGTGCCCGATCTCCTGCCCAGAAGCGTGTGTCAAAACCCTAATCCCTAAACCCTAAACCCTAAACCCCTAAACAACCCCTAAACCCCTAAACCTCTAAACCCCTAAACCCTTAAACCCTAAACCCTAAAGAGCAGCGCCCATCCGCAACCACCACCCATTCACCCCTAAACCCTGCTCGCCTCTAAAGAAAGCTCGAGGCTCCCCCGCCGTCCCCGCCGTCGCCCCCCCGCCAAAGACTGTTTAGGGGCTCTTGGGATAGTTTAGGGTTTAGGGTTTAGGGTTTAGGGTTTAGGGTTTAGGGAATAATGAATCAGTTCAGTGTACTGAAATGCAAGAATTCGCCCCGGAATCCCGGCACGCGAGGCGGCTACAATGTAGCGGCTACAAGTAGGCGCACAGCACCCCCATGCCCAACAGTGTCCAACAGTTGATGCTTGCAGCGACCCAAGTCCAAGGCCGCTGTCTGTTAAACCCTAAACCCTAAACCCTAAACCCTAAACCCTATTTTGATCCAGCTTGTGAATGCTGCGGCAAAGGCCCTCCGGGCCACAGTCGTGGTGCAAAAACCTGAGTGGAGCTTCGCTCCTGGGGTGATGCGAGGGCACTGTGCGAACTGCTAGCTTCAGACTGCGTAGTTCCAAGTACACCTAAGTATGAATACACTCTTTCTCTTGTGCCAACCTGCTCATAGCTACACACAAGTACACAGTACACACCACCCGCAAATTGGAGGCCTTCACTATGCCTTAGACGTAGCGGAAGTTTTACTCCCGCCTAGGTCACATTGTCGAAAAGAGAGACCGAGTGGGCTCAGACAGCCCTCTCCACTGTGAGGGCATCAGATCTCACATCGCACCCGAACGCCCTACCTCAATGAAACTACAAGACCAAGCTGCCACCCCAAACGAGCTGCAGCAAACTGAACTCGTTTCCCTTCGGCTCATAATCGAGGTCCTGCTTAACAGCTCACACAAAACACGGATGAGGGAAGAGCCCCTTTTAGATGCAGCCTTCGTAAATGGGCGATGTGTTGATGCCCGAAATAGAACTGGGACACTGCGACGCACTTCTTGCTTGCCCTCTGTCCTCTGTGGGTACAGCGTGAGTTCTTCGAGTAAGTTTAGCATAATCCGCCCTGAAACGTGGGTCACATGCCCCTTGGGAAGCTAAGCCAGTAGAACAGCCAACTCAGCACGGGAGCTCTCAGCGAGACCCCCATGGATGCAGCCGGCCGGACCTGACTCGGCTGGGTGCCGAGGGTTTTGGAGTTGGCTTTGGAATCAAGCACCCCTAAACCCTAACCCTAAGCCCTAAACCCTAACCCGAAACCCTAAACAACCCTAAACCCCGGGCCCTGCTGGGCTCCGGACTTGAAAGGAAGTCGTGGAGGGCGATCGGGTCCTGGTACCTGTTTGGCTGGCAGTGGTCGAGGCTTCGGTGGTCATCGTGATGGTCTCCGAAGTCCTCGTCAGGCTTGTGGAAGTGCTAGTGCTGCTGCTGGTACTGACGCTGCTGCTGCTGCTGCGGCTGCTGCTGCTGCTTGTGCGAGTACTACTGCTGGTCGTAGTTGCGGACGTCACGGTCGTAGTCGTCCTGGTTGTCGTATTTTCGAAGGTGGTCCTCAACCTCTGCACGACCTCAACAACATGCTGAAACTCAGCTTGCTGCTCTACTGTGGCAGCTGCAATCTGGGTGCTGCCTGTGACTCGAAGGTCGAAAAGGCATTCCAAATTCTCTCCACAAATCTCCTTCTCACTGGGGCTCGCTGCATTTGACTCAGCAAACTCGTCCATGAACAATGGCGTGAAGCCTGGATTTCTAAGGCTCTCGAAAGTCCGCGTTCCCTTGTAGGTGAACAGAGTTTCGTCCGCAGTCAACATCCATGACAAGCCAAAGTCAAAGTGCAGCTGCCTCTGTGATGCATTTGTAGGCAGCAAAGTCCCATTCCTCATTTGCAACTGAGCTTCCGTGCATGGATTAGTGGCAGACTGCATGCCATGAGCAGAATACTCCGGACAAGCAGCCTGGCAGAAAAGTCGTTGTCCTGGAAGCCATCGTAGATTCCCGCCAGCCCCGATGTGGAATTCCAAAGCCCTGCAAAGGCTCGCGCCAAGAGGCTAAGGGATCCATCTGCCGCAGTCAGGTCTAACTGGAGGAGCCCAAGAACACGGATGGTCGCCCTGAGATCGGAAGGGCATCATGACTTTATCTCCATGCTGAGTTGAGCTTTCTGCAAGGAAGGCTACTCTGAAGGCAGCACTGCATGTACATCGCGCTAATTGCAATGCGCAGTTCATAGGAACCGGCCTCGGAGGACTGCCCACTGGCAACTCGACTGAGATGCCGCCTTACTGGTCTATACTCCCCTATAAATATCTTCTTGGGTTTTGTTCTGAACAAAGATGAAAAATGATTCCCAAGGGGGATATACTGGTGGGGGCACTTCTTTGGTGAAAAGCAAAGCTTTGAGCTTAGGGCTTTTCTAACTTCGACTGCAGCTGGTCAGGGTTTAGGGTTTAGGGTTTAGGGTTTAGAGTTTAGGGTTTAGGGTTTAGGGTTCTAGGGGGGTTCAGGGGGTTCAGGTTTAGGGTTCAGGGTTCCCCCCCCCCCCCGCCCCGCCCGCCCCCCATAGATTGCCAAGCTTCCCTCGAAGTCCTGAGAGTCTAAGATCTCATCGAAGAACTGTGCCTCGCCATCTACAAGCACCTGCAAGGTCTCCCGCTGAGCTCCTCGGAAACCCACCTGAATGGCTTTGCTGGACAGGGTTTAGGGTTTAGGGTTTAGGGTTTAGGGTTTAGGGTTTAGGGTTTAGGGTTTAGGGTTTAGGGTTTAGGGTTTAGGGTTTAGGGTTTAGGGTTTAGGGTTTAGGGTTTAGGGTTTAGGGTTTATCGGACACCCACCTGAATGGCTTTGCTGGACGGCGTCTTTAGAACCACCGAGGTGAGGATGGTGGCCGAATCCGAGTCTTGAGGCTTCTCCATGCGCACTTGCACCAGCAGTCGTCCGTTTTCCTGAGTTGCCCCCCCACAAGAGCAGATTTGCACTGATCACTATATTATCACTACATGATTCTAAAGGTCAGTTTGTGGTTCATCGTGGAGAAAGTCTGAAGCGCTTTCGGCAGCATGGCTGCTTACCGAGCGTCCATATGCAGGAACCAGAACTCACCCAAGCCATTGAAGCTGTAAAGCAGACCTTAATCCCTGTTCCCCTAGGACGAAAAAAGGATCCTTTTTGTTCATATATAAGAAAGCCCATAACCCAAAAAGTAAAAAGGATCCCTAACACTGATCTAGATACCGTCGAAGGAGGCCAGGTGTGGATCACCACGGGCTGCAGCCAGTCGCGGCAGATCTGCACAGCAGGGATCGCCAGGTTGATAGGTTGGCCGATGTCTGCGATAGATGTCCGTGTCTCCGGTAGCCAAAAGGATACCATAGGGGAGACCATCTGCTACCATATGCTTCACATTTTCCCAGCCCCACAGAGACCCTCCGCCCCAATAGCGATCACGAGTTCCGGCTCCAGCCGGGTCAGTGTTGATAGTCCCATCACTGAGGTAGCACACCTGTTCCCCCTCTCCACGATCATTGGGCTGTCGAGTTCTGTAGCAAATCTCACTGCCAGGATGGTAGCGACAATCTTCCGCAGACCGGCAGCTGTTGTCTACCACCCAGTCTGGGTGATCCTCAGCGAGATCTCGTGTGCAAGGAATGCATGGGAACTCTCCCCAGTCATCGTGTCGCAGCCAGTTGTCCCAAGTGCTCCTCCAAACGTCCGACACCTGTCCTGGAAGGGCCAGGACAGTCGGTATCGTGTGAAAGGGAAATCTGACCACGTTGTCAACAACCCTGTCTGGGTTCCACCGCGCCATGGCCGCCATGGCTCGATACGCTGTGGCCTTCGTGATGCGCACGGCAGTGGTCACAAGCGCTCCAGCCAGAAATGGGAGCATCAGCCGCCGCTCCAGACCTAGACCCATCGCCGGCAAAAGAAGGAGTCGAAAGGCTAGAGTGCGGGTGCCATTCGCCTCCATTGCATTCGACATTGCAGCGCTAAGGTTGCTTGTGCTAATCTGCAAGGCTCCGGTGTCAGGAATGCCTCTGGCCAACAAGTAGAATGCTTCAATCTCTGCATTGTCGAAGTAGCTGATGGCCAGCAAGTCCATGGCAGCTGTGCCATCAGAACTCGGCCCCCACGTGATGTTCATGAAGTCATCTTTCGAAGCAATGACCTGGAAACTTCCCGCGGGGTCATCCCCAATGGTCATCTGTGCTGTGGGTTGAATTTGTGGCAGGTAGTAGAACGTCGTATTCATGCTAATGGCGTCACCATCCAATGACAACCCCAACTTTGCCCGGCCGAATGTCCCAACCGGTGGGGCTATGCAGCGAACAGTTGTGGGGCTTGTGACTGCTGCCGGCACGGCCTCCCGGTAGTCGCCGATGATGAAGACACATCTTGCATCGAGCATGGTCACGTTGAAGCAATCGTCGATCGTCTGCAAGGAAAGCTCGGAGCCACCGGCGGGTGAATCGTACAAGGGTGATACTCCGAGAGCCCCATTGCACGTGCTGTTGGCCTCGCTGCTTCCAAAAGCGGAACCATCAACCCGGTAGACGAAGAGGCCAGGAGAGCCAACGTTTGAAAGCGATGACCTAGGTAGGCCTTTGAAACCCTCTGAAAAAATATTCCTAAAATAGGGCCCTCTCTTAAACCCAAATAGGGGGAAATAGAAGATATCCCAAGGGCCTATACCTAGTGACACATTCACTACCGCGGGCGTCTGAGACTCTGGAACCGCGAAGAATCGCTGGCCGTCTCCAGCATCAAACCCCACTTGAGCCGGGACGCCGCCCAAGCCTAAGTGGTTACCACCGCTTGCTGTCCCTGTCGTCCACATGATGTCACCATATAAGAAGAGTGCCAAAGTCTGCTGGCCATCTGTCACAAGGACGCACTGGAAGGTATTTCGGATACTGCTGTCAACACCGAATGCGGCCACATCAAACCAGGTAGCAACAAAGGCAACTTCAATGGCGAATCCTCGAAACATTGGTGCCTCGCGCCCATTCCATTCCTACACCCACTAAACTGACTGAGCACGGGCAAAATGGGACAATTCAATGAGCCAAGTTGCGTGCACATCAACTATGCGTTGTGCTGCTGTCACGACATCGGGATCCACGGTCTCGCGATAGAAGATGTCCCCGTGCCGGGTGATGTCAATATCTGCCCAGAATGGGGACACCACAGGCACCCCGCCATCGAGAGGAAATGAGGAAGGCGTGAACCACGTGATCTCCCGCGTGAAAGAGATGATCCCATTGGTGTTCACCCAAAGCTCGGAAAAACGATTCCCGAAGAAAGGAAGGTCGATAAGCAGGGAGACCGCAGTAGAGCTACCGTCGTCCATCCGCGCCATGCGTACATCGCCTGTTTCCGTTCCGTAAGGCAACAAGTCTATGCCGCTTGCAGCGATGGCCATCGAAGATGTCAGCAGCCACATCAAGGCAAGCATCACACAGTTGGTCTGAGACACTCCGCTTTGCAACATGTGTGAGCAGCAGCTGCGGCAACAGTTGCCAGACACAGACATGCAAAGGTCCTTGGGCCCGGGCCTGCCCCTCTATGTTTCAGGAACTTCTTTGTGGGCCTTGCTAAATACACCATGCCAAAACAAGAGCACAGGCCCCTCCAGTGTACGCCTCCCACAAACAAACAAACAAAAAAACGCGCATCAGCGCCGGATATGATTTCGGGAATATTTCCATTCGTAAGAATCTCGAAACAGTGTATAGACTTCATTCTTTAAAGAATTGCCCGAATGCAAAGAACGATCCAAGGAGTCCAAAGTATTCAGCTCAGGGCGGCTTTTCCGATCCTGTCGACAGTCTATCCTGTATGTGGGTAAGTCTTTAAAGTAAGGTCCCTTTTGGCGGGGGTCCTAGCAAAAGCGTGACCTTATTAAACCCTAAACCCTTAACCCCAAGAACTGCCCAGTTGACCAAGGGTGCGATTCAATGAGCATTGGTGGAAGTGGCGCGGCTCAGCTGAGCTGGCCATGGAAAGCTGTGGTTTAGGGTTTGGGGTTTCGGGGTTTAGGGTTTAGGGTTACCCGGCATTTGTGGAAATCTCAGCCAGGTATTGTAGGCAAGGATAACAGTCGAGACACCTGAACGTCTGTGCGACGGCCGGGTCGACGCTATGCTTTCTGGCGACATGACACCCAAAACTGAAAGACAGTCCTACTCCCCGAATTCGCCTCGGCTTCCTGCCGACCCCTCCTGGGACCCCTCGCCAGCTGCATGCCCCGCCTTCACCACCTAATCTTGCTGTACCCTTTGCTGCCGGCCCCTTCCCTTCAAATGAAATGCTTTGAGGGTTCCAATGCATGCCCAAACCCCCGCTCCCCGCCGCTCTCCCTGCTGGAACCTTTCTGGGACCCAGACCCTTTCAACCCTGCCTGGGACCTACCCTTCCCTCCCCCCTCCCCTTTTTTTCGAGGCCCTCTTTCCTCCTTTCCTGTGGGCCGGCCCGGCTGCCGAGGCGGCGCGCGCAGGCGTTTACAATTCTAGCACGAAGCCGTTGTAACACCCCCGCCGCCCGACCCAAGCAAAAAGAAAGCCCCACGCGGTGCACCCATGCCTAAACGACTCGTCTGCTTTGGCCGTGGTCGGCTGATTGGTTTAGGGTTTGGGGTGGAAGATGAAGATGGTTTAGGGTTTCGAATTGCATGTTTCGGATACTTGCGTGAGTAGCGAGTGTATCTGACTCGCCTAAAACCCCGAGGGCAAGGGACAACCATCTAAGACTATAGGGTTTAGGGCCAGTTAAGCGCCCAAGTCCGCAACGGCTCAGAACGACTCTCTTCTACTCACAGAAATTGCGCGGACCCCACGAAAAATATTTCCAACCATTTTCTTAAGTTGGAGCATGCGGAGGAGTGCGACGACTGCGACGATGGAAAGACCGTCTCCAACGACGACATCGCCGAACCGCAAGCATCCGCAAACCGTTGCTGGGCGGCGCACCCCTGGAGAAGGATCCCGAAAGCTCGGGGCATCACATCCGAGGCCGCTGCGATTCGCGGCGGTACTGTCTGCTCACAGTGCTCACAGTGCTCACTGAATGAGCATCTCATTGACCCTGACGACTTGTGGCTGGGAAAGCGCATAGGCGACGGCGTCGGCAATGCTAGCAGGCGGAATCATGGCTTTGGTGGTGCCGACGAGCGGATGGAACATGCGGTCGCCTTCCGCGTCCACGACAAGATTGCGTCCGGGGGTGTCGACGTCGCCAGGCTGCACGGTCAGCACCCGGATGCCGCTGCCCTCAAGCTCCATGCGCAGGCCCGTGGCGTAGGCCTGCTTCCAGAACTTGCAAGCCGAGTACACCGTCAGGCCCTTCCACACCTCGCGGGCATTCTCGGAAGTGATCAGCATGATCTGGCCTGCCTTCTTGGCCAGCATCCCTGGTAAGGTCACCTCCACCGAGTTCAACGTCCCATTGCAATGCACAGCAACAAGATCCGCATGGTGGTCGTGAACTGCCCGGACATCGGCAGTTGCCCTCACGTAGGACCACATGCCAGCACAATGCACCAACACGTCAGCGGCCCCCAGCTTGGCATTCACCTCCTTGGAGGCAGCTTCCATGGCGGCCCGGTCCGTCACATCAGCAACCAGCACGAGAGGCTGTTCTCCTCGGGCTTCCTCGATTCTCTTCGCGACTTCCTGGAGCTTGCTCTCCGAACGAGCCAAGAGCGCCAGCCGGTAGGTCTCCCCGAGCTTCTGCGCAATGGCCGCCCCCATGCCGCTGGACGCACCCGTCACCAATGCCACTTGCTTGCCCGCCCAAGCCATCTGTTCAGCAGGATTGAGGTAAGTGGGGCCACCCTGAGCCTCAAAACAGCTGCGGAGCTCAAGCAAGCTGCGAAAACTTCTTGGTAAAGATCGCAGGTCGTGGGGCCGTTTCTTTCGAACCCCCCCCCCTCCTTCCCCGGTACTCCTCACGTATAGGGTAAACATGGCAAACGCACCCCCCCCCCCCCCTCCCAACGCGAAGCCCGGCCCCTACTCCTCCACGCTCAACCTTGGAACAGCCCTATTATAGGGTTTTAGGGTTTAGGGTTTAGGGACGCCCAACCTTGGAACGGGCCTAGTGCTCGACGTAGAAACGCGAAGAGGGTGGCATGAGCCACAGTCCCGCCCTGGAGGGCATCAGAGGGTTTGGGCTCATGTGCGCTCGTTGGCCACACCAGATCCTTGCCTCATCGATACTACCCCGAAACCCTAAACCCTAAACCCTAAACCCTAAACCCTAAACCCTAAACCACAATGACACAACTGCCCAAGGCTTCGCAATCTGCCTTGGGAAGCAGTCGGGTCTGTTGGGCTCTTCGGTGCCGCGCCGCGCTGTGTTTTGCCGTGTTGCGTTGCGTTGCGAACCACGTCCCCTCACGTCGCATCCCATGGGGTCGGTGTTGCGGTGTGTTTACTTGCTTTGCCGAGCTCCGCTGTGTCGTGCTTTGTTGTAAGTTCGGCGGCCGCGCAAGAGCCGCAAGAGGTCGCTTCCACCACGTGTGGGGACACTGGGTTTGTTCAGAAAGAAATAAAAGACATGTCGAAGCAGGGGTCGAGGAGAAATCCCTCCAAAAGTGTGGGCAATCCGATCTCATTGAACCGCGATCATCTTGATTAGCACCGAAATAGTCGCGCTTCCTTCTTAGCCCAACATAAAACTTACCGCAGGACGACTACAATACGCAACTACACCAGGCGTGACAAAAACCGTGCCCTTGCTCGGATGCAGATTCCCATTGCATCCCCCCTCGGTTGACATACCGCCTTGTTGTTCCGACGTCTGGCAGCACTCCAAGTCATAACGTCACGGTCGAAAAGGACATGGACTTGTGAAGACTGACAGGGCTTCAGCGATCACTGAAGGATCACTTGAGGCTCGGACATGCTCGTGGCTATGTACGCTTTTGTCGCAGCGCGACGATAAACTTTCTTGGAAACCGCGGCTTGCATGTACGTGGTGTTTTGTGGTGGGCCGGCAGGCATGCAGACGTGAAGACTCGCCGGTGCCCCAAGTCATGTTTCCGCAGCTCAATATATAAATAAATAAAGATAAATAAGTAAATAAATAAATAAATATATATATATATATATACAAATGTATATATATATAACACAAACGCAGATGTTAACAAACTGATGCTCCTCGCCGTCGCTTCGTGCCCAGAATTGACATGCTGTCACGAAACTATTGTCGGTGGTTGTGCTTCAAGCTGCCCTGCCGATTTCGGCTTGTGGCGTGTGCGGCGTGGTTCAGAACACCGCGAGGACTGAAGTGGCACCATAACGATACTGATTATGATGTGCATGAAGACGTCATAGAACAAAGCCATATATACAAACAAATATCCGTTATATAATCGTACATACATAGCGTAGCTAACCCCTCCCCCAAGCAGACAAACCTCCCCATAAAATCTTGCGGCAAGACTACCAAGCGCGTCAGGTGTGACACTGGAAAACTGACGCAGAAGCGATAGGCCTCTTCGAATACAAGCCGGCCTGTACACACAATACTGCCTCAAAAGCAGTGCGAATAGCCCACTAGCCCTCCCCAAGGCAACCTTCCCACAATAGCCACCGCAAGAGCAAGAAGTACACCCGTCCGTGGAAAACAGAACCGAAAAAACATCGACATGGTGAGCAGACAACATTCATTTTTCCGTCGCTTTACCATGTGCACCTCTCATCTACGGTACTGCAAATGTTGTTCCAGGCCATGTGACAATGGAACTGCCCCCTGTAGTTCGAGTAGAGCACATTAAACTATAAGACCTAATCTACGGAGTAGACTTGTATACTTGGGAGATATCTCGTTATGCCGACTCTCTTGTTCTCAATAAAGGTTTTCTAGTCCGTCTACTAAGCTACTACTCTGTGAGGTAGCCGCATGTCATACATTGCAATATGTTAATGGCGTTTTGATAACTTGAGACGGGAGGGCCCCAGGGGCCCTGGGTCTGAGACTTGTTTGCAGCTTTTCGGTTTCAATATCTTCGGCTGGGGATGTTCCCCTTTTTTCCAGCAGCCCTTAGTAAGGATCATACTTTTTACAACCAGGTCTGCACAGCTGCCGGGAAAAGTAAGGATCATACTACTATACTGAACTTGGAACCCTAGCAAAAAATATTTTCTTTGCTGTTTCTTAGGAACTCTAGTACCCAAAAATTAAATAGGAAATTATTTCCCAAGTACCCCTAAGACTCGGGGGGGCTGGGAGTATAAGGGGGAGCATCCCGAACTTCGGCGCCCAAGCTCTTCAGGAGGCTGAGCCATCAACTAAGGAACCCTAAACCCTAAACCCTAAACCCTAAGCTTCCTAGAGTGGCAACAGGCAACAAAATCTAGTGGCCATTGTTGATACAAGCCTGCCCCTCAGTTTAGAAGAGTAGTGGGTCAAAAGGTACATCCATGTATGGGCGAAGTGCGCTAACTAATCTACCTAGACGATGAAAAAGCAAGAACGTGTCATGACTAACATGAATACAAAACCCTAAACCCTAAACCCTAAACCCTAAACAAGTCTGCCTTGGAGAGAAAAGAAGTGTAGTGAGGAGGAAGACTTATCAATTTAAGACCCCTATATTGTGCGAGTTTGCCCTTCATATTACGAGCGCAGTGAGGAAGGAGGCTGAGCTATGTAAGAGCTAGATCACTGGCTCAACTACCTAGATTAGGCAAAAAAACAGCATCTAAGGTAGTTGAACCCAACCCTTTTATAGGGTTCGTTTGGTCCTTAGCCCTAAACCCTAAACCCTTCAAGAACTCGAAACTGCCCTACTTGAGGCGCCCTGCCGAGCCACCACGTGATGCCTGGCATTCACACGTGGGAACTGATCGAAGTTAGGGGGCCCCTTTTGCACCCATTCTGCTTCTCCAAGCAAAGGATACATTCATTCTTCAGCCACCTTGAGCAAAGATGCCACAGCACGGCGGGCCATGGAGGGGCTTGAAGTCGACCTGGCGGCATCTCATTGAACCCAAACCCAAAGAGCCCTAACACCCCTTAATTAAGGAATAGACCTTAAACCATACTAGGGATCCCTAGATAAAATTAATATCCCCTAAGGGATATTGGGCTCTTCGGGAACTTGGGTCCCAAACCTTCCCAAACCCCGGTCCGGAGCCGCAATGTCTTGCGCGAAGACTCAGCGCCCCCAGCTCCAATTCCCAATGCCACTTCCAAGGTGCCGGATCTTGCGAGACATTGCAAGGATGTGTCTCCGGCGGGAATCAGAACCCGGCGCAGGAGCCGAAACGGAGCGAGAAAATGCGAGGAAACATAGACTCAACTTGCGCAACGAGTTTGCAAAGACAAAAAAACCTGAGTTAGCCTCTTTGCCTCAGGAAGCTCGCACTGAAGTAGCGTTCTTTAGGTTCGCCCCAGCCAATCATCAACTTTCTCTCCGTCTGGCAAAGAAGCCCAAACGTATAGGCTACCCGTAGGCCCATGCATAGAGCCTACGGTGGCCTATCCTACCGGTAGGCCTGTTGAAGGGCCTCGAGTCGCCATCGGGTAGGTGGGTGGGCTACCCATAAGCCTATTGGTGGGCTTCCCGAGGCTAGCTAGGCTTCCCCTAGGCCTACCGTTGGCCGACTCATAGGGCGTAGCCCTATGCTTGGGCTTCTAGATGCTTCGTCTTGGGAGATCTTGCAGGATTGACGATCTTAGATTCCATTTCTGTTTCATCTGTTCTGACCTATCTACGAATCCCTTTGGATAAGTCTGTCATTTCTTCACCCTTCAAATGGCCATTTGGACGGATTCGTGTGCCTTTCTGCCCTTCCTTGGCCTTTCCCGGAATGTAGAGCTGACAGGTAAGATTTTACCTCTAAAAATTACCTGAAAAATTTGTTACCTGCCTTCTTCCCTTCTTCCTCCTCGAATTCCAAGACCTGAAAGCTTCGGCACATGCCTCGGCGATTCTATGGCCGACTCTTCAAGGGTTTATAGGGGTTATAAGGTTTATAGGCTCTATAAGCTTTATAGCACTAGGTTCCGAATTCGATCGAACCTTCCATACTGGATTCCATACATTGCCTCTATATTCTGAGAGTCTCCTTTCTTTTTCATTAGGCACTCTCGAACTTCTTTGTTAATAGGCATGCTCTTTGAAAACATGCATTTCTGACCCAATGTGTGCTCGAGATTTTGACTCTTGGGCAAGCAGGGCTTCACGTCCGCAGGCTACTACTCTACTACAATGCAGGATGTGAGTGACTCCACATCCCACGCACGATCCATCACCAGCTTCAAGAACAACACAAAGAGACTAGTTTAGGGTTTAGGGTTGAGGGTAAGAGTGTACTAAGACCACAAAACCCAGTGAAAAGACCCCCATCTGACCAGCGATGGTCGCACACACGCGCTGCGTTTCGGTGAATTCAGCCCTGTGGTGAACACTGGCTGGGCTCGAGTTTTCAGCCCTGGGCTCGAGCGAGCACTGGCACTTCTGTATCACTTTCATGATAAGACCAGCGGCCATCGGCTCATGGCGCAGCAGGCTTATAACCATGCTGTGCCAATGTGAAAATGCCCCGAAAAAGATATCATATGTGCTGCGGATGCTAGCCTCCCGGCAAGACAGTCAGCATGAGAACTGCCAACCCGTAGCAGCAATTTGCAAGCATACATGTTCAATGTTTGGCATCCATGGAAAGGCGCGGCGCCAGAACTTACACGGCTGCGATAGGCACCCTTGCCACCTCCCCGACTTCTGCAAATCGGTGATAGACATAGATGTAGGCACCATCGGTGAAGCCCTGAAGTTCTTGACCGGCCTTACCAGACCAAGCACTGACTTCTAGCCAAGACCCCGACAGCGTCTCCGGGTCAAAGCGGTAAATTCCATAGTTGGCGAAGAAGTAGACAAAGTGATCGATCGGGCTGGCGATGCCGTCCTGGATCTTCTTGATGGAGTCGATCCAACCAGGAGTTGTCATAATCGGAACGTTAACGACTTGCTCGGGGTCTGAAGCGAGATTTAGCATCAGAAGCTGTTGCTCAACTCTTGAGTACAGGAAAGCACGGTCCCCTGAGCGGAAGCAGCCCATCCGTTCGCCGTAACTGGGATTGAAATCGTTAGGCGGATTGTACGCACTTGTTGTATCTGTATATAACAATGCCCTGACTGCCGCCACCTCTGTTGCGTTGGCAAAGGTGTCCCTGTCAAACTTCCACCTTATTTTGACGATGTCACGGGTGGAAAGCAGCTCGAGAACTCGAAGTGCTGGCACTGTCTTAAGCCCCCAAGTCCGAAAACCCTCTCAGCTTTCAGCTACAGCTGTAAGTAGCTCTCAAGCTGTATAGCCTCTTACTTAACAGTCCTTTCAGAAGTCTCTTCGGCTCTCAGAGGCTGGGTCCCCCTGCATCCCGCCGTGGTCGTGGCACACGTAGACTTTGCTCAGGTACTCGAAGCCGCCCACCATGTCGTCGGCGGAAGTCGAGCTAAAGGCACCTAGACTCCCCTCAGAACCTTAAGAAAAGATAGCATCTTTAATATCCTCTTGGGTTTTATATAAACAAAAATTTAAAAACGTAATTCCCAAGGGGATAGATATCTAGGCACCATTCCAGTCACTCATGTCCATCTTGTCCACGTAGGCGAAGGGGTTCAAGGACATCCGAGCCAAGAAGCGCTTCGGTGCATTCTGGGCATCTTTCCCTTTGGCTTCGACGTAAAGGTAGGTGCTGCCAACGAAGGCTCGCCCGAACTTGTGCCCGTCGTTGAAGTTGTCGTCGAGGAATGCGCTCTCCACTTCCTCTCAGATTGTGGCAACGACACCCCCCCCCACCCCCCCACCCTAAACCCTAAACCCTAAACCCTAAACCCTAAACCCTAAACCCTAAACCCTAAACCCTAAACCCTAAACCCTAAACCCTAAACCCTAAACCCTAAACCCTAAAACCCTAAACCCTAAACCCTAAACCCTAAAACCCTAACCCCTAAACCCCTAAACCCCTAACCCCTAACCCCTAACCCCTAACCCCCTAAACCCCCCCTAACCCTAAACCCTAAACCCTAAACCCTAAACCCTAAACCCTAAACCCTAAACCCTAAAACCCTAAACCCTAAACCCTAAACCCTAACCCTAAACCCCCCCCTAAAACCCTAACCCCCCCCCCCCCCCCCCCCCCCCCCCCCCCAAAAAAAAAGCAAATGTTTGCAGCAAACAACTGATCTGAGTGTTCCAGTACATTAACATGGGGGGTTTGCGAAACTCAGGGACCCCTTATATGGACCCCCAGATAATAGGGACACCGGGATACCTTATAACAAGGACCCCAATAAGGGGGCGCCCCCCTAGTTTCGGAACACCCCCCATTAACATGAACATCCAAGCATCACTGAGCAATACGCGGGTCGAGCTCGGGCTGTCGCTGAGATCAAATCCTAGGTGTCGATTTCAGATTTCAACAGCCCTCAAAATGACAAACAATTCGGGCTCCATATTCAGCACTGAGGCAAATTAAAACATCATCCCACTCGATGCCAAGAATCTATACCCGGCTGCTGGATTCGCCGCAAAGAAGTAGCCGTAGTCGGCGTATCCGGCACTCGAATCGGGGTTCACGTCTTCAGACAAGTACTGTCCGGAGACTTCGGTGGCTCCGAAGCTTGAACCCAAAGCGAGAATTGAAAAAGTATTCTCATAAGTGGTGGCATAGAAGTGCGTCTTTGCTCCGTTGACAACTCCCTTAAAGAAGTTGAACTGGCGAGCAATGGAAGGACGTGCAAGGCTTGCGTGCTCCACCGTCCTGGCGCTGAAGGTCACCTGCAGCGCATTTGGCTGTTGCAGTCAGGGTGCAAAAAGCGCTGCTGGAAATTTCAGCTAAGCAGCATGAGTACGTTCGAATGTCGGGACCCCTTCAACTACACATGAGCTTCGCTTTGGCAACACAGCTGTGAGCCCACCAACCTGGCCTGGCAAGTTGATGATGCGATCTGAACCGCGCCATCCATGCATTGCAGCCACACCATGCCGGACTCGTAGCGTGATGTGTCGCAGGTGAGATTCATCGCCTGCTTGTGCAGCATGTCGCCATGCGAGTATGTGTTGAAGTCATCGTCTTGAACCGTGCCTGCGGCACACGTCGGCCTGCAAGCAGGATAACTGGAGAGCTCGCTGATTCTGTGGTCGAGCTGCGTGTTGCCACGTGGACACGTGAAGTTGAGCTGGGAGGTTCGAGGGCCACCCGAGGATTCGTCCCACTCAGGTGCGGTGCCGACATCGCACAACACATTGATGCTGCTGCCAGGAGTAACCGTGAGCGCTCCTGTCTCGACGATGAGATTCGGGACGTCTACTGAGACCTCGCAAGGCAGCGCACACAAAATGCCGCCCTCCACTGCCAACTCCAAGCTTCCAGAGTAGCAGGTACTGCAGGATGTACCAGTAGTGCCGAAACAGCCGATTTCCGGCAACGGGCACCACAGCTCATTAGGCTGGCATTGAAAACCAGTGCAGTGGTTGGGAGCCACTCTGAAGGTTTTCGGGGTGGCGGCATCCAAGCATGTGTCACATGCCGAGGCGTTGGTGGATGTGGCAACCATGCACCGCCGTTGCCGGACATCTGGCACGTCACAGAAGAGGTATTTCTCTGGCGTGAAAGTCCCGCAGGAATCCGGCGACGGCGCCTCGTGCTGTAGTTGGCCCTCCGCAATCCTGGCTCTGGGTCTCTGGGGACCCATGGGCTCCCTACAAGTTCTTAAGCGCTCTCTCAGCTCTCCCAGACACCCTAAACCCTAAACCCTAAACCCTAAACCCTAAACCCTAACCCTAAACCCTAAACCCTAAACCCTAAACGGCATCCCAGGATCTTGGTGAGGAGATTGGAGTCCCAGACGGTGACTGCCAGCGGCCTGGAGATGTTCGACTCGTGGCAGGGAATGCGGCAACTCGCAGAGTGCCGGCTGTCCTTTGTTTTCTCAAAAAGGGTTTAGGGTTTAGGGTTTCGACTCTCACACTGGCACAAGCGGGCGAGGCAACTCCTGTCGAGATCTCTAGATTGGGTGCATTGACCACCAGCAATGAACCAACCAGGGGTCAGCAAACCCATCGCCCACCTGACAAGGGCTTAGGATGCCAATACATAACGCCGAAGAGCTGACACCTGATCAATTCAAACTACGGCAGACCGAGAAGTAACTTAAGTGGGGTTTAGGGTTTAGGGTTTAGGATGTTTAGGGTTTAAGGTTTAGGTGTTTTTTTTGCCTCCTGCAGAAAGCTGTGGGGGGTTTAGGATTTAGAGGGTTTAGGGCTTAGGGTTTAGGGAACGAAAGCGAGTGCTTGTTTCGAGAAGGCACAGGACAACAGCCTCGACCGAACAGGCAAGTGTGAGACTTGCAAGAGATCGCAGGCAAGGCCTTTAGCCCGAAAACACCCTTCAACCCGATTCCGTGGTTGAAATCGGACAGGCCAGGCGAAGCACAATAGATCCCAAGGCTCTCATACATTTGCTTGTGGTGATAGCTTCCTAGGAGCCAACCAAACCAACTACTCAACACAGACATCTTCCTACCCAGTATGCCCTGTCACAGAACTCTCTCAGTACCTCTCGACGTCTGAGGACCCCCTGAAAATTCAGTATAAGGGTAGCAGAACAGGGTCCGCTCTGTCAGAAGCCTGGAACAGAACTGCTATGTGCAACTTGCGGGTTGCAGGTGCAAGAGCACAACAAGAGACGCTTTTCAAGAAGGTGTATTAAAACAGTGTATTACAGTGTAATGGCATCCAAAAGTCTGGGTCGAGCTCGAAGTTCAAGCAGTTGAAGGAAGTCCCGTTGCCATCTGAGAACTCGACGCTGGCCGCATTTTCCTGGTTCCTGGGAAGCTCGCTGATGGTGAGCCGCACGTGCCAGGCCAGCCAGTTTGGGGCGGTGTTGGTCAAGCTGATGCCTGCGGCCTCTGCTGCCGTGCACGAATCCACCCGATTCTCGCCACTGGATTGGTGGATAGCACTAAACGGTTCAATCGTGACGGTGCGACGACCAACAAGCAATCCCATTGGAGTGTCTGGGAAGATCGCACTGTATGGACCTTCGTCGACCTCGTTCACGGCCGCAACTTGGAAGGTATAATATCTCCCAGCAACTAGCTGCCCCACCGTGATGATGTCCTCGGACACGGCTGTCTCAAAGACGCGGTGGAACTTGATCCACTGGTTCGACTCCACGTCAAACTCCTCATGGATGATGCGGAAGCGTAAGGAGATGATCCCGGCACTCAAGCCGCCAACTCGGATCTGCACCCGCTGATTCAAGGGATCCTGCTCTTGCTCGCCCGCCGAAGCCTCAAGGATTGCCTTGCTAGCCCAGTAACCATCCTTCAAGAAGAGTACCTAAACCCTAAACCCTTTACCAACCCAGAACCCAAAAAGGGCAAAAGAGTACCACTCAGCTACCAAACCCTAAACCCTAAACCCTAAACCCTAAACCCTAAACCCTAAACCCTTTTTAAGCACGGACTGAGGCTGCCGAACCCTAAACCCGAAACCCTAAAGCCAAAAGCCTAAAGCCTAAAGCCTAAACCCTAAACCCTAAACCCTAAACCCAAGTGGCTGGTGCCGAAGGGATCTGGGGCAAGAGCCGCTCGGCACTCATGGCCGGACCCTGCTTGTAGTGCGCCACCACCCGCGTGCATGGGTTTCGGCACCAGGCTTCTCCTTGGGTTTAGGGTTTAGGGTTTGGGGTTTGGGGTTTGGGGTTTGGGGTTTGGGGTTTGGGGTTTGGGGTTTGGGGTTGGGGGTTTGGGGTTGGGGGTTGGGGGTTTGGGGTTTGGGTACTTCATCATACAAGGCTCAGACTAGGAACCAAGCAATAAAAAACCAACAGAAAGATGCCGCCCAAAAAATCTGCCCCTTGGGGGCCAAGTGGGCTCCAGCCCGGAGAAGAACTTCAGAACACTGGTGAGCAAAAACCCAATTTAATATAAGAACCTCGAAGAAAAAGAGGGTTTAGGGTTTAGGGTTTAGGGTTTAGGGTTTAGGGTTTAGGGAGCAAGAGGAAAGCGAGGGCTCTGTCGGCCAAGAAGTCCAGCGCTTCGGAAGCGGCTGCATTTGAGCACTTGTACGTCGTTGGAGTGCAAAAAGCCTCTCGGGTTCCGTGGGGATAGGGGTCGTTTACGGTTTAGGGGGATACTGTTTAGGGGTTTAGGGTTTATAAGGGTTTTGGGTTTAGGTAGCTGGAAAAGAGTAGTGTTTTGCTGTGTGTTTCCCTGTCATTGGCTACTTCCGCCGAACTTTGCGGCGCAGAAAAGCCATATGAACTTCTATGAACTTCGCGGTGTGCAAGAGATGTGCTGCATGTGGGTATATTCCTTCGTGTGCTTGTTGAGGATGCCGTCACGATCAGTCGAGCACTTTTTGCTCCGCCCTCCCCGGCCAGTCATTCGCATCTTTGAGTGTTGTGATCTACACCGCTGCAGTTCAGCCCCCGCTCCGTGGGCAAAACCTTCCCTAAACCCTAATTACCCTACACCCTAAATTTTAAAGCTGCTCTGCTGTGTCTACGGTAGGTCCCAGTTCACGTTGACGCTCGCATGAGCTTGCTTCTGCACGGCTCTGCCTTGTTTCCTGGTTTTGGTCCGTTAGCTTACGCTTAAGATCAGCCTGGTTGCACCCGTTTTTGTTCATGGGTTTTTTCGACATTTCTGTTCATGATTGTGCATGTTCGTGCACCCACAATAGTAGATGCTACGCCAAGCTAATCATGCAGGCATGCAATCGGTGGACGCCCTCAATTCGCTCAGGCAGCGTTGCAGTAAGTGGTACGGGCTGCTCACTGCACAGCTCAGAAGCAATCGTTACATCTGTCAAACCGTACGGACATTGAGGAGTGAGTGAGTGAGTGAGTGGGTGGGGTGGTGAGTGAGTCGTCAACCGAGGCACGTGCCGGCAGGAAGCACTTACCTAGCCTAACAGAAAGGCGACAAGGCTTCAAGTGTCAGCCCCAACAACTACGAAACGACAAACAAACAAAACAAAGACGCAACAAATACGTGGAGACGAGCGGAGAACGGCCCAGACAACCAAAAGGGCGTGTTACCCTCCGAACGAAGCAGTCACTATAGGCAAGCCCGCCACCTGCACCAACCGAGCAGAGTACTGCTCGGGTAAGCAGGCATACGGGCAAGACAGCTTGCCACTCGCGATCCGGTATGGCAGAGCTTGTACAGTCATGATTTGCTCATCGGTACACTACCATCCAAGCTTGAGGTGCAGTGGGTCACACTGACACCTGTCCTTGCCACGGGTCTGATGGCTGAGGAAACTTGCAACGGGGTGTTCGGTATCACGCGTCATCCTGCTGGAATGAGCATCAGCCATTCATCAGCAGGTAACACCTGTGCCTGACGAACGGCGCGGTGTACAATGTCACCCATCATCCTCAATGAAGCATGCACGGGGTAAATAATTCACCAGGTGGAGGGTGGCCTCGAAGATTTTTCACTGCCCCGGGAACAAAAGGGTGTTGAACGGCACATCGACCCGATGGAGCGCATACCGAGTGATACACTCCATACAAGGAGGGAGATCAGACGAATGATCATACGAATAGTTCTTACGTGTGAGCCAGTGGATCGCCGGTAGCACTCATAATAGTCGAAGGGACCTGCAAGGGTGTGGGAGAACGTATTTCTGAGGATATGGTGGTGCCGCCCAACTTTATGGCCATCAACATCCCCAACTCTGCGCGGAGAATTCTGTGATGGGCCACCTCCAGGATGACGAAGACGCTCTTCCCACACACACACACACACACACACACACACACACACACACACACACACACACACACACACACACACACACACACACACACACACACACACGTACGTCTATGGCAGTCTACCAGGTCTAGCAGTATATTGTTGGGAAAAGACACATGAAGAAGCTTAAGCCTTTAGGTGACGCATGACGCAAGCGGGCATATGTTCCCACGTCGGCATACTGGCACCTTGGGCCACAGCTCCCTATCCCAGGGGCGGGCGAGGGGGAGGCTGAACGATTCAGCCAATATCGCTGCACATCTCTGCAGACCGATATTACCTGTATGACAAGAATGCTGGCCTGAAGGACATGCAGAAGCAAAGCGGAGGATATCTTGCAAGCCATTGTGACATCATTGCAATCGCCCCGTGCACCTGACCACGCCAACCACTGCAAGTGACCCGAACAGATTCACGATGCTTTTCCCAAACTCCAGTGGCAGGTGACCGTACGAAACCAGAACTAGCGTGACCACTGGGTCATGATAAGTCATTTGACAACCAATTAGAGGTCGGTCAGGCCCAATATGGCCGTATACATGCGGATCTGCAATTTGACTTTGCCGGGCAAGACACGAGCACCACGACATGGAATCTAAGGGTTTGGGCAGGGCGTTTGGATTTTATGGTGGGTGACGCTTTGAAATTCGAAATCTCCGTTTGAGAGTCGAGGGGGGGCTGTGTAAGGACAAAACTTAGAGTGTCCGAGCTGCGACTAAGATATCGGCCATGTGCGCATCATCTGATGCGGAGCTCCATGTCACACGTGCTTAGACCACGGTCCCCAAAAGCGAAAAAAATGGCTATGGACATCAAAAGACACCAGATGCAGGGCTGGCCTTTGGACAAAACTGGGAGCAGTAGGAATCGAAGTGAATGACAACCAACTTGTAGTTTTCGACACACTCCTGCTGTCTGGAGCCTGACCCCGTGCGAGCTGCCTTCAAGCAATGAGGTACTGGACCCATTTTCCTGCCAAAAGCCAGGAAACGCCTCACGTTCACAATGGTGTCGCGGCTACTTGCGGGGCTCATGCCCGCCACAATCAGCGCCACCACCGCGTCGTAGTTCAGGGAGAGCGTCGGACCGACGTAGTGTGCGAACTGCGTTGCCAGTGTGGCCCCACCATCATCCTGTAAAGGAAGCACCAAGCTGGCGAGCGAGAGCAAGGCATCAGACTGCTCCTCACGGTACCTGGAATCACGAAGACATCCCCAAATTCAACTCGAGAGAAAGCGGGGCATCTAGCCGAATCTAGCCTGTATCAAAGGCACTATACTCAAAGATGACACCCAGGTACTTTCGGATCAAGTCAAGCGTGAAGTTGCTCGAGGAATGACTGGCAAGGATGCTCTCCACCTCCTCCTTGAGGGCTGTGTTTCGGGTTTGAAGCCTCTAGGTCTAGAATGTCTAGAGTGGCCACTGCTTTGTGGTTTCTTGCCTTAAACCCTAAACCCTGGGACAAACTCAAAACCGAGAAAGCGAAAGCGCATTCCTAACTTTGCCCCGGTGGCAAGCTTGTTCAAGGTCCTGTACTCCAACCTGGGAGGCTCTATACCCTAAACCCAACACCCTAAACCCTCAAACCTAAAACCTAGGGAAAAACCACGTGTGGGAGAAAAACCCTGCGCCGCGGGCACTACGCGACTCGATGCATTGACTGAGGCGCGAAACAAGGACAAGTGGCCCCGAGGTTGCTTAAAACCTAAACCCAAATCAATCAGACAGAGGTGGAGGTGGAGGTGGAGGTGGAGGTGGAGGTGGAGGTGGAGGTGGAGGTGGAGGTGGAGGTGGAGGTGGAGGTGGAGGTGGAGGTGGGGGGGGGGGAGGGAGAAAAACTCACCGGGGAGGAACATCAGCCTCATGAGCCGAGCAACAAGGCTTTTGCAAGAGTTGCCTTGTACTCCCGCTGGTACTCCTTGGTTGCTCAACCAAACTGGATATATGCTTCGCGTAGCTGACGACGCATCTTTATTGGAAAAGAACCAGTGGACTTTGCAGTGTTGCGAGCCCGTAGATCACCGCCGCACTTCTTCAAAGGATGCTCTTATGAAGTTCGCTGAGGCTTTCATCGCAGCCTGTGAGGGGAACGCCTTGAAGGTTCTTCACTTTTGCAGGCCACGCGAGTTTCCTTTCCTACCGCCCTTCCCGGCCTGCAGAAGTGGAACTTTATTCCGGTATTAAGCATACTCTTTGTGCATCCATGCTTACATGCAGCATACTTTGCAAGCACTCTTCGTCTGGTAGCAGTAGCAGCAGCAGGAGTTGCGGTGGTGGCGGCGGTGGTGGTGGTGTTGGTGGGGGTGGCGGCAGTGGTACTCGTCCACGCTTAAAAAGAGCAGTAGGCAGCAATGGTACCAGTAGTGGTCGCGGTCGTGGTCGTGGTCGTGGTCGTGGTCGCGGTCGCGGTCGCGGTCGCGGTCGCGGTCGCGGTCGCGGTCCCTGTCGAGGTCGCAGTCGCGGTGGCGGTGGCGGTGGGGGTGGTGGTGGTGGTGGTGGTGGCGGCGGCGGCGGCGGTGTCGCTGTCGCGGTCGCGGTCGCGGTCGTGGTGGTGGGCAGCAGGAGGAGGAGGAGGAAGAGGAGGAGGAAGGGGGGGAGTAGTAGGAGTAGTAGCAGTGGCAGTAGCAGTAGCAGTAGCAGTAGCAGTAGCAGTAGCAGTAGTAGCAGGTGGTGGTGGTCGTCACAATGGCCGCCGCCTGAAAGAACTAGCTGGGGAGCCAGGGCTCCGCTGTCTTAAAGTGATGTTTGCTCGTGCGCCGAAATAGGCTCTGCGGTGCTCCTCCAAGTTCACATCATTTCACATCGTAACCAGAACGTTGCAAAACCAAAGCTTCGAAATCCTCACCCCCCCCCCCCCCATCTCCCCGCCCTCACCCCCCCTCCCCAGAAAGCGCCTATCTCGCTCTTGGTCCAAGGCTCCTGCTGCCTACGGTTGAAGAGCTCAACCTCCCAGGTCCAAGACTGAAATCCCAGGTTGGTCCTGGCCTGGGCTGTCGAAGAAGACTCAAGTTTAGTTGAGCGTGACTCAGGACTCCGCATTGTTTGCTCGGGCTTTGTCTTGGGCATACTCCCTTCTGCTTCATGGTGGAAGTTAGTTTCGGAGATGGTCTCGCAGGTTTTCTCAGGCTTGGTGTTTTTCATGGTTTTTGAGGGCTTGTCTCTCAAGACTTTTGACGGTCTCGGGCTTGGTCTGCAAGGTGTTGGCTGGCTTTTTCTGTTCGAGGTCTCAGGGTCTGCAAGTACAAATACAAACTAACAACTTACGCGCACGGTTACTAAGTACTACCACCAGTATCAATTGCGAAGAGAAACAAACTACTCACTCAACCGACCGCTCGTACGGCCGCCAAGCACTACTACTGCTACGACTGCTACTACTACTACTACTACTACTACTACTACTACTACTACTACTACTACTACTACTACTACTACTACTACTACTACTACTACTACTACTACTACTACTTATTACTACTACGACGACAACTACGACGACGACGACGACGACTACGACGATTGCCGCATCTCAGGGTGGGCTCACTTCTCAACTTCACACGAAGAGAGCGACCCTGTTCCTGGAATTCTTGTGAAGGCTTGTCCTGACAGCAAACTTACAGCCTAAACTCTCATAGCCCTACTCTGTCACGGCTTGCGTCGCAGCTGGGGCACGGCCAAGTCATTGATAATTCGGACACCTTCATCGGAGTCTTCCATAATGTCGATTGCCTTGTTGATGATCTCCGCTGTCAGTCTTTTTGCGACAGCCTCATGGCCACCTGGAGGGCGAACTCACTACTCAAGCACTCCTCAACACAAAAACCACCTCGTTCCGGACGATTGATGCTCTTCTCTTTGGGCTCAAGCACTCCGGTACGATCAGTCACAACAGCAAGCTGAGGAGTCAGCCAGGTGGCAGACATGCACAACAAGCCTCTTCTGTCTGCGTGTGTCTGCGTCTTGTCTATGTATGCATGTTGCATGCATATGGCATGCATGTACTACACAAATGTGGTGTAAGTGCTCAAGTCTCCTATAATATAGTATATAAATAATAGTATATAGTATATAGTATATAGTATATATTCTATAATAATATCAGATCAGCTCAACTTGGGGGCGCGCTGACCAGCCACTTCACCGGCGTGAGAGTGATTCGCATGGGGACGCCCCCGTCCTCCAGAGCCGCCACATGCACCTTGGAAAGGTAGTCCAACGCCTTACTTCTCCAACTAAACCAAGGGTTTAGGGTGTAGGGCTATTATTCCTACTAAATAAGGAAACCCCAAAAGCGTAAAGTTCAGAAGTAAGATGCACTCTGCGGGTCTGTGGGCACCCGTGACGGTTTCTGAATTGTGACACTCCGCCGGCGTCGACCCGCATCCTCATCAAGCAATGGGTCGTCACCCAACGCATAGAGTGCAGTGGTGGTCGTCGTGGTCGTCGTGGTAGTCGCCACGGGCGTCGTTGTGGTGGTTGTCGTTGTGCTGGTTGGTGTCAAGTGCACTGCATGGACGTATGTATCGGACTTGCCACAAGCGCAACAGTGCAGGTCTGGAAAGTTGTCCGCTGCGGCTTTCTCTTCCCGTTTGGGATCGTTAGGACGGTACGTCGTATTTTGACAAACTCCGTTGGCGACCATCCAAGCACAATCATAAATAATCTTAAAATATTCACCCGAACCCATTGCTTGTTCCCAAACAACTCCAGCATTCCACCCTACTGTGTCTGTACACCTGCCGCAGCCGCAGCAGTTCAAGTCTGGACGATTGACGCGAGCTGCAGACGTAGAGCCATCGTAAAAGCCACTCTGGCAAAAGTTCGGCCGGTAGTAATCACAGTCCTTGCCGTGAGGATCCTTGGAAAACAAACGAAGTGTCAGCAACAGCAGAACGTGTGACCTACGTCTGAGGCACGAGTGTGTTGCAGGCAAGGGTCAGTCCAGTGATCCTCGTCTGAGCATCGCCCGCAGCCGCAGCAGTAAAGATCCGGGGAGTTGACGTCTCCAGAGCTACGGTTTGCATTCAGACTTGGCTTGTAGCGTTGGCCGTCGCAGTAATTCTGCCGGTAGTCCTCGCACGTCTGGCCACTCCTTCCATCCTTCCAATTGGGCCTGTCCCAACATGTGGTAGGAGCATTCTCGCTCAGGCGTCGTCCTGACTTTCGCTTTGCCAGCCTACGTTGAGCACTTAGCCGGCGGCTTTCCACTGGAGCCTCGGTAGCTGCCGGTTCCACACTGGGCGCACTGCCACGGGGAATCACATCACCAAAGACCTCGACCGTAGTTGTTTTGTTGCTGAAATCCGATTGGTCCTGCATTCTTCTGCAGCGTGTCTGACCCCCATGTGTTAGGCACATGTACAACACAGTCAACAAATCAGCAGATTCCAAAAAGACAAGCGCTTCACTTACAAGCGCGCACGTGTAAGGCGCCGCGTGGCATGCAAAAAGGCGCTCTCCTGAAGGTCCAAGTTGACTTCAGCCTCGAGCCGGATCATCGCCGTTTTCATCTCGCCACGTAGCGAGCCTTGAATCACCTCCTTCTCATTCTCGCTCTCTGCATTTTGTATAAAGGTTGCCGAGCAAGCAGCGCCATACTGGATTGAGCTTACCTTCTTTGGGCAGTCACCCAAGGATGAAAGTAGCAAAGTAGCAAAGTACCAAAACACAAAAACGCCGAAAAGGCAAAGAGAAAGGAGGCCCCTGAAGGCAATGCTCGTTGCATCCTACCGACTCCCACGTCCTACCCTTGCCGCGCTCCTCCCTCCTGATGCTGCTTGGAGCTCTGCCCTGTTTGCACCCTCCAAAACACACACATAAACACACCCATCAAGAAATACCACCGGCCCCTCACTATCGGAGCAGCGCTTCTTTTCTGTTGCCCTACATCCTGCCGCTCCCTCTTCTCATCCACCTCCCCACCCTGTCGCCTCTCACAGGCCCTTTCCTGGAATTACCCTCTGGACGTGCTGCCCGCATCTGCGACCGACCACCGGAGATGAGTCGCTCCATCGACCCCCCTGCCGAAACCGATATCACTTCTGCCTCTTTACTTTTTCAACATACAAGGCCTCTGCCCCTTCTTCAGGGTTCAGGGTTTAGGGTTTAGGGTTCAGGGTTCAGGGTTTAGGGTTTAGGGTTTAGGGTTCAGGGTGCCCAATATCGCTGAGCCACGAAGTGCGTGGCCTGTGGCGGGATGAAGTCGAAGCGTAGGGACTGAAGGTCTGGGTCCAATGCATTCAAAGTCCGCCGCACGGTGGTGACGGTCATGCGAAGGGTGCTGCGCACCTGCGCAGCACGACTCAAGCGCTCCGCGGGGGGTTTGTTCCGCTTTTTTCTCGGATTCGCTTGAACCGCACACAAAAAAACGACAGAGAGACAGAGAGACAGAGAGAGTAGGCGGATGAGAGAGCACCATGCAGCTCAAAAAGGCAGGCAGCGCGAATCCAAGCCTCCAGGTTGCTTGTTGCCTCACTCAGCGCGCGGGGGGGGGGGGGGCGTTCTCAACATGTTGAACAACAGCTGCTTGTGAACCCTAAACCCTACACCCTACACCCTAAACCCTAAACCCTAAACCCTACGTGCGCTTTGCAGACTCTGTCCTCGCCTTCGACTGCAAGTACTTGGCCGACCCCGACACTTTCATCGAGGTAAGACCGGCCGAGCGCTCGAAGCCGATTCCTCCGTCAATACCCAAAAGGTCCATCTTGTCCTCACACGCAAAAAAAAACTGACGCAAATTTAACAGCCGGGGCTTCTTTGTGACCCTATAATTAACTTCGGACTCCTTCAGGCTGTCTTTGTGGGAAAGCTTGTAGTCGGCACTGCGCGCGATCGTCTCCCGCACGAAGCGCGGATCATCGAGGGCCCACAAAGGCCACTCCAAATGTACAAAAACTGATGCCCCTAAACCCTAAACCCTAAACCCTGAACCCTAAACCCTAAACCACTTTTTAGGAACCTGAGAGAGAGAGAGAGAGAGAGAGAGAGAGAGAGAGAGAGAGAGAGAGAGTCTTGGGGTGACTCAGCCAAGGCACTCGTCGGCATTCGCATCGAAGAGCTCGCCAAGGAAAAACCGACGGCCCAAGTCCTCCACATTGAGAGCCTCGTCCGTAAGGTCCTCGCGTGGGGACGGGGCGTAGTTTTTGAGGCTCTGCGGGCGAGAACGACCAGGGGGCTGGATGTTTTGATCGGCTTAGCGATTTACGACGATGTACGGTAGGTGCAGGTCGTCCTTGTCGGCATGGAGCCATGCACAGTGCGATGCCAAGCAAAGCCAACTCAAGCGATACATCGCGTCTCGGACGCGAGTCAACTTGAATAGAGTCTACAATAGTCAACTCTGAGAATGGCACATCTCGAGCAATGAACAACACCAACAACAAACGCATCCAGCACTGTGCAGGGTACTGCTGGTGGGCCAAGCACAGGTCTCATCGCAAGGCAATTGCACCCTTTTCTCAATCGCGTTGCTTGGCAAACGATCAATAGTGATCAATGTAGACATCGAATGGGCTAATGAGGCTAGTGCTACAGGGACATCTTGTCCGCGTTTGGTTTGACATCACGGCCTTTCAAAGAGCCAGGCCAGCTCCCTCACCTCGCGGATCCTCTTGTCATCCCCATGCCGTGGCTGGGGACCGAGACTCATCCTGTGCATCCGAAACAAGGTCCGGGTGCTGCACATGCTGCACTGACTGCTGCAGCGGCGTCCGAGTTGAGCCCGAGGGCACTGCAATATCGGGCTCTGGTGGAGGCCGTTCTTCGTCCTCCAGATCCGCGGTTTCCAAGGGCTCCTCGGGCTCGGGGTGCGACCAAAACTCCGATGATGCAGCGGCGGCAAGTTCCGGCTCTGGTGGAGGGTTCTGGGAGTGATCCGCGCGGTCCCCTTCCAGGACCGGGGCGACATCCGGAGCTACATCAGGGGCTACAGTCTCTATGCGTGCTCTTCTGCTGCGTCGTTTGTAGAGCAAGTAGACGGACATACCCACAAGCAGAGACATCAGGATGGGGAACCAAACGAGAAAGCCCACATCACCATCATCACCCGGCAAGTTGTGCTCGGTCGTCGGCACCTGGGAGTCTAGGATCTCCATGCTCAGGATCTCGACTTCCAGCCCTCCCTCTGCAAGCATGGACTGCAGCTCGGTGGAATTTGGGACCGCGCTGCCCAGGAGGGTGACCACTTGTGAGATCCGAACCAACGTCGCAGGAGGGGAGGCCACTGAGACTGAGATGTTGGCGGCGCCGCTTTCCCGAAAGACCTCAGGGCAAAGTGGCAAGAATAGCTCATAATAGCTCATAATAGCTCCCAAAAAACAATCAAGACTTTCACTGAGCAGCCTCGCTGATCATGGTGTCATCATCGAGCGCGTGAAGACCTTGAGCAGTGGCACTGGCAGACTCTGTTCGCACCAGAGCCTCAATGATAACGCCGGTGAATGCTAGTCGTCGTCCATCAAGGGCGCGAGAGCTGACATTCTCTGGTGGGACACCGAACAAGGTTGAGATGGCAAGCTGTACTATCTCTGAAACAACCGAGCCGTTCAAGCTCAAAGCTGCTGTGGTCTCGAAGATTATGCTCGTGATCGACAGCTGGTCGGGACTGACGCCCAAAGCTTCAGCCATACTCGCCTGAAAGGCCTCGACGTCAAAAGCCGAGACATTTGCAAGCCTCAGGCCCACCTCCAGCGAAACGGTCACGATCGCAGAGTCGGGCACAGTGCTGACACTTGCAGTTGAAGTGAGAGCTGCTGTTGTGATTGTTGGTGCATTCTCAGTTGTGCTTGGTGCTGGGCTCAGGAACATGCTGCTGCTTGTTGCGCTTGTTGTGTGCGTGGTACCTGTGTGGATGACAGTGGTGGTGCTTGATGTGCGACTAGCGCTTGCTGTGTATGCTGGCACGCTGTGTATCGTCAAGCGTGCACCGGCGACTGGCCGCCCCAGCTTCTGCAACGACCATTCGAGGTTGCTCAGCAAACTCCCGGAATCAACCAAGTTCACCAGCACAACTTGAAGCTCCTTGCGTGCTGAAGCACATTCATCGGAGCAGTTCTCGAGCCTTAGTTGCTGGGTTCATAGGCCCCCAAAAAACGGTACACTTTCAGTTCTAGAGAGGATTATACTATCCCAAAAAGTGTGAAATGTACTCACTCAGCTGCTAAGGAGCCCAATCGAAAAGAACGTTCTGACGTTGGCATCCGAACGAACCCAACTTTGCTCCATGGCCACGGCCACACTCGCATCGGGCCGCCCGGAGGAATTCACCAGACTGGACATGATGGCTTGCCTTAGGAAGAGCCAGGCTAGAATGCAGAGTTTCACGTCAAAAACCGATGCGACATTTTTTGAAGCAGCTGAGCAGCCTTATCTGCGAATTTGAATGCAAAAAGTCATGGACGTCCGGCACAAGGAAGAGAATCTCTCCAGCCAATACCACCGAGTCCGAAACACTGTCCAGGCGCAGCCGCTGGATTGGGCTCAGTTGAGGGGAGGGTACTTGCCTCAAACAAGTGTCGGGCACTGGCGCCACCGCAGTATCACAGGGCGAGCCAGGATGGGGGCTGGCTTCTCTGCGCAAGTAGAACTTCAGGAAGAGCTTGGTGGAGGGAACGCGAGGTGAGGCGCTTAGGCGCCGAAAGCTTGCTTCCTCCCAATAGGGCACTGGCTCAGCGGGACAAACCTCGCCCACTGCATCATCCGTGCCATTGGTATGGTTGGTAGCGTTGGAAGCAGGGTTGTCAGAGAGAGTCCCCCAGTATGCACTGGTACTGGTACAGTTGGGAAAGGAGCTATTCGCATGTGGCCTCTCAGCGCACTCTTCGCACGTTTGGACACAAGCGGGCTCGAAGGAGTCACAGTAGAGAGCTCGATCCCAGTGGCGGCACGCTTGGATACTTGGGGCCTCTTCAAGCAGCACGCCGGCTTCAGCAACTAGGCTGTCCATGCCAAAGACTTCAACTCTCCAGAAGATGTCTAGTGAAGTGATCCGGGCTGGGATGGTGCACCGAATCTCAGAAAAAGACCGGGAGTAGGATGGTGGGGTGCAGGTGAAGTTCGGGTGCATGCCATCGAAATCCGAAAACCTCACCAGCGCGATCTCCTCCTTGGCATCACCCGATAGGGTGACAGTGACTTCCGTGCAGCGCCAGCTGGGCGCGCGATTCTGACTCGGATCTTCAGGCCCAAGCGACACAATCAAGGGCACGGGCAAACCGAAGAGCCTGGAAGGTGCCTGAGGGGCCGCCTCCTCGGACCCTAGCCTCCTTTCGGCCTGGCGCGCCTGGTGTTTGGCAGAGAAGGGCCCGGTGCCCAGGTCGTTCACCGCTGCAAGTTGGAATGAATAGAGCTTCCCGGCAGGCAAGGCGATGTCGGCTTCATTGTCGATTTCAAAGTCCTGGTGATGGAACGCACGGCGCACGCCTTCCTCGGTCACCTCCTTGCTCTCCCAGGAGATGCGAAGCAAATGCCGCGAAGCAAATGCCGCGCAACTCGACCCCCTCAGAACCATCTCAACCTCTGAGCCTCTTGCTCGCACCTCAAGCACGTCGATGGTGGGAATTTGGATCTTCTGTGCAGCAATGCGCTCGGGCTGCATATTGCGGGTTGAGAGCAGCAGGCTTGTTTGAGGAGACTTGCACCATTCCTCCGCCTGCAGCAAGGGTGCAGCAGACGAGCTGGAATGCAAGCTAGAAGAGCCAAGTGCGTGCTCAGACTTTATGCAATTGGCGCACCAACGTCGGCAGTGCTCCGGCTGGCAGAAATGTGAGCAAAAGCTGTCAAAGTGGATAGCCGTGAAGCTGACAGCCTCGCACCCTGGACAAGGGCCCATGATGGAAGCGTTTCTTTGCTCAGCAAAGCGTGTGAACTCCTTAAGCATCTTGATTGACTCCCGATTCTGCATGCTGGGCTCGCCGGCGAAAATCAGCATGTAGGAAGAGTCCATTCGAGGATCCATAGATGCTCCCACAAACTCCGACATTCGGCTGGCCATGGAGATGTCGGCCGCCTGCATCAAGGAGCCCAGCTCGTCTGAGGTCTCAAACTTCGTGCGCAGCCCGCTGCACAGGGCCTCCGCGTCCTGCGCGCTGTAGCCGCTGTCGTAGAAGCCTTGCACCCAAGAGTCCAAGACCTGCTCGTCGCCGGAAGTGCGAAAGATTTGCATGGCAGCCAGAAGCTCCTCTTTGATCTGCTTCCGGTAGTTCCTATAGTTTATGGATGGGATAATGCTAAAAACTAAACTTGTTTATTCCTTGTTGGGTTTAAGTTTAAGTACCCTGAAAATGTAAGAATGGTACCCAACTATGACAAAGGTTCTTGAGGTTGTCAAGATGGCACTCCACATCCCATCTTAGGGACAGGAACCCATTGTGCGGCCGCAATGAGAGCTCGTTCAGGCATTGCTCCGCACTCTCCAGCTCATCGTAGAATCCTGGAACCAAAGCCGCAAACCTAGTTCATGGCTGGGCGAGTATGAAAAATCTGAATTGATATTCCTTCTTGGGCTTAAGTACCCTTAACAATGTAGAATGTTGCCCAACTATGAGACAAAGAAACCTGGAAGGCAGCGAAAGGAGTTCAGGGCTTGGCTCGCTACTTTGTAGCCGCCGGCCCGCTTCACAAAAGAGCTCCGTGAGCGGAGTCAGGAAGATCCGCTTGGGCAAGTCGGCGTCTACCAGGAGTGCCGGCATGCTCTGCATGAAGAGAACGGCGGATTTCACATCAGTTGGCAGGTTCTCAGGGGCAAGAACATCCCCGAAGATCTCAACACTGATGTTGTTGTAGGTGTCGGATGACTCCGACACGTCCTCGTCATCGTGAATCGTCTCGGTCGCCGTGCCGAAGAAATAATCGATTTCGGCCTCTATCTTCTTGATATCAACAACCTTTTCGTAGCTGTCCCGTGATTCTGCGCTGAAGATTGCGGCGCAGTCGCCGCCATACACGATGCCCGTTACGACATGTGTCGCACGTGCAAGGCCTGGGTATTCTCGCACCTGTAGCTGCTGGTCACACAACTGTGGATCGTGCGTGTTGATGGTGACCCTTCGAGTTTCTATATGGTAGTTGGCAAGGACCTCTGCTGTTGAGCGCGTGAAGCGCTTATGCTCCAAATACTTGATCGACCCCTTTATCGACAGCAATCCCGCTAGGATGCCTGCCGTCACTTCAGCCTCAACTTCTTGTAGCCGAGCTCGATCCTCAAGCTTCTCACTGTTTGTGAAGGCAAGGCTCGAGAAATCTGCTGGGACTGTCTTTACCAGCTCAGGGTTACTTGTCAAAGAATCCGGCCACAGCACGACATCCAAAAAATCATCCTGAACCGCATCATACAGTGAGCCAATGCTTGATCCACGGCCTAGATCCGGTATCTCAAGGCGCCCATTGCGCCCGCTTGCACTAGCACACAGCAAAATCTGCAGCAGCAAAATCACACATCGGACACCCCGGCCAGCGGCATGCAAGGATGCCATAACATAGGCCGTGGACGGACATGCGGAGCGAGTTGCAAAGTTTGAGGAAGAGGTGAAGGCTGTGAAGTTGCAGGCCAACCTTTGGTATAGCTTTTCATCCGAACACGGTTGAGGATAAAGTGAACACGGTTGAGGATACTTGCATCGACCTACCATAGTCCGGCAACACTATCCTTAAGCCATAAGAGCTGTTCAAATCCGCGCCTGCCTCGCGCAAGTCTTATAACCTGGCTGAATATGTTGCCGCACCTTAAACATGATGGACGCAACCCCCATCCTGCACGGCCTCTTCGAAAAGCTGCATAGGGCATGCAGGAAGCAAATCAGGTTGCTATGCTCAATGATACCTTGGCCTCCGGAAGCTCACACTGAAGTAATTGTCTTTAGGTTCGCCCCAGACAATCATCAACTCGTTCTCTTCGTCTTGACAGCAACGACTGACGATCTTGGATTTCCATTTCTGCTTCATATGCGCTGACCTATGTATCTGTCCTTTTTGCGCCCTTCACATTGCCATTCGGATGGATTCACGCTTTCTGTCCTGCCTTGGCCTTTCCGGGTTTAGGGTTTAGGGTTTAGTGTTTAGTGTTTAGGGTTTAGGGTTTAGGAATGTAGAAATCCCCTCTTCCCTGCTTCCTCCTCTCGAATCACTCTGACTCCTGAATGGTTCGGCACATGCATCGGCCATACCGTGGCTTGCTCTTCAGCACTAGGTTCCGATTTCGCACTAAATTTGAGATAACGATCGAACCTCAAAAATATACATCCTGCCGTTTATTATGTTGCCTCTATATTCTGAGAGTCTCCTGTATTTTTCATGAGGCACTCTGGAACTCTTTGTTAACAGGAATTCTTTTTGAAAACATACATTTCTGATCCAATGTCTGCTCGAGATTTTGGTATGCGGCCACATTGAACGCAAAAACAGTCAACAATGTGCAGACCTTGCAAGGCTTAATCTCCTTGTTTTCGAGTCTTGCTTTTGGTGACTCTCTGAACCACGCCCACAGATGGGAGTTGCTCCTGCTGGGGCTGTCTCTCCTAGCTCAGCAAGCTCACAATCTGCACATGGCCTTTCTCAACCGCTTTTCTCAAAGGCCTATCGCCCAGCACGGTGTCAGCGCGATTCGCATCCGCCCGATTTTCCAGAAGCAAGCGCACGATGTCCACGTGGCCTTTGCCTATACTCCCCTTACACCCTTAGTAAAATAGTATGTTGAATCTCCTTTTGGGTTTGATATAAACAAAATATATTTAAAAATAAAAAACGAGTTCCCAAGGGGGATGTAGTTGCTTGATGCGACCCAAAGGGGCGATTGTCCAAAGGTGTTTTGGCAGTCTTTGTCAGCCCGAGACTCGAGAAGCAAGCGCACAACCTTAGAGTGGCCACCTTACTTCTTCAACAACCAAGGGGGAAAAAAGGTTAACTGTTTACTCTGTTTTATGGTTCCTACGAAAGAAGGAAACCCAAAAAGTCTTCAAAGTTCAACTGATGGCGAAGTCAAGCCACCCTCAGAAGCCACCAAGAGAGGCGTCTTGCCTCGCGCAAAGTCATCGAAGCCTTCCAGCATCTTGCTCGCGAGCTCCTTGCTGGCCATCTGGGATATCTTGGATGCAATTTCGCATCTATCGCTTTCCGTGCCCGTGTCGCAAGACTCCTTTTCAGCACCGGCTTGTAGCAATAACTCAGCAACTTCCGCGTGGCCGTTCTCGCATGCCGCAACGAGTGGTGTAACAAAGACACCTTCATCATTAAAACCCAGAAAGTTCGGGTCCATCGGTTTTTGCAGATATTCTTGAACCTTTGACGTGAGGCCACTTGCAGCAGCCCCTACAAGCTCGTCCATTTCCTGCTCGGATGCGCTGGCAAAAGGCAGTAGGACCAACTGCAGGGTCGTTGCCTCCAGCTTGGCCTCCTCCTCTCAAGGGAGTTACCCCGAAGAAGATCCCTTGATATCCTCCTAAGATGGAGCTCATACTATACTTTCTTAGCGGATCTTTCACAAGGGTCCCCCAAACCCAGGTAAGCACAACCTTAAGGGGGTTCAAGGTCGAACCCCCATGATCCTCCAAGCAGGTGCCGCTTTCTTGAACGAGTCTCTGCCGAAATCGTGGGATGCCTGAGAGCCTCTCTAAGTCGCACTTCAACATCCCTGCAGTGGTCAACTGCTCCACGGGAAAGGCAGCCAGCTCTTCTCCAGATGCCATCACCACTCGCAACATCGTCCGGATTCCAGTTGTTGCTCTTTTCGGGGGGTTTTGGGAGGTTGGCTTTTTTTGGTGAGGGGCCACTCGCTCTAAGGCTCCAGACTGTTCTTGTACATCTGCGATTTGTCCTGAATGTTCGGATGCACAGTTCTCATTGAGCTTGCTCTTTTTCTGTACCAGATGCGATGAATTTGGCCATAGAGACTGTGAACGTGTCTGAGGAACAGTTTCGGGCGTCTTGTCTTGGTACACACATGTCGACATTCGCCAACCTGGCTCGAGGCTTCTCCTGCTTGCGCCAGTGCAGCAGCTTGTTTTTGAATGGCAGGTCACAGAACCACAAAGCCGAGCTCTCAAGGCTTTTATAAAGTCCTGTAGTGCGCTGGGGTATACTACGGTATCCGACTATAGCAGACCACAGTATACTATGGTGTACTGTATACAACTGTATGCCCATAGTAGTGTAGTAGTATGGCATACTATAGAAAACACCTGATCTTTTTCAAGGGCACCTGGAAAGGAGGGTAAAGTTGGAACTCGAAACAGTCTAGAAAAACATCGGAGAACAGGTCGACCTCAATATACCGGAGCTGAGAAGGCTTAGTTGTCCAGGAACCTGTTGGAATTACAGGTTAACCTTTGGGATTGTCAGGGGACTACACTACCCCAAAAAGGTTAAAGGTTACCTACTCTACTACTAGGTTTAGGGTTTAGGGTTTAGGGTTTAGGGCTTAGGGCTTAGGGTGTAGGGCGAGGCGTTTCAGCAGCAGCTCTGCCCAAACGCGCTGCTTCGGCTGCCTTTTTTTCCATTCCTTGCACCGAGCCTTCCAGCTGTAGGGTTGGGCCGAGTTGCCCCTAAACCCTAAACCCTAAACCCTAAACCCTAAACCCTAAACCCTAAACCCTAAACCCTAAACCCTAAACCCTTAACGGGCCCCACAGCCTTGGATGAGGCCCAGATGTGGGCAGGTGGCACGGGGGAGGACGGTGCTGAAGCCGAGGAAAGAACACCTGCACCACTACTTCTTGCAGAGCGAGGAGGATCGGGCTGCTGGCTGTGTTGACACAGAAGAGTAACTGGGTTTAGGGTTTAGGGTTTAGGGTTTAGGGTTTAGGGTTAAGGGTTAGGGGTTAAGGGTTTAGGGTTAAGGGTCTAGGGGAACTTCATCATCTTGTATCCTGCCCCGATTTCTATTCTTCGGTGTGTGCCCGAACAGTGTGCAGCCGTTGGAGAGAGAGAGAGAGAGAGTCACATATGAAAGCCGCACTCAGCGTGTGGCGGTTGCGTTCGTCTGCACGACGACCATGCCACCTTCCTCATCCATCCTCAGTCTTCGTTGAGGGTAGCCCAGTAGTCTGGGCTACCAAGTCGTTAAGGGTTGAAGGCCGTCATGGGTTAGGGCAGCACTGCATGGTATGCGCCTGCCTGCGCCGCCTTTGTAGCCCTCTTCGGCGGGCAGAGACCTGATGCAGTCCGAGGATACACTAAACCCCAAACCCCCAAAAACCCAAAGCATTAACTATAACCTCAACACTCCCTAAAGCCCCAAACCCTATACAGCACCCAAACCCAAACCCTCTCAAGCTTGTGAACTCTAAACCCTTTATGGCCATGAAGGGGGAACCCCCCCCCCCCCCACTTCCCAAACCCCTACACATTGCTGCTCGAGCCGACATTTGTTTTAACAGCGCCGGCGCTAAGAAAACTGCTTCGCGGCAGGCGTGACCCAAGCTCTGCTTGGCAGAGTGGTCTCATGTGCCTGGGAAGGAAAGATCGAGAAAATCCTGAGATTATTTTGCAGAATAACAGACCCGCGCATCCTCTGGCGCTTGTCATGGGACATGCCTGCCAACCCATTCTCGGACACGTGCCCAACCGTTTCTCTTCTTCATCTCCTCATCTCTCCCAAGAACCTTCAGCGCTGTTTCTCGCCAGAGTTCTGGAAGCGACCACTGCACATTCAAACACTCCGCAAGTCCTCGGATGAGTTGCAGCGCCCTGCATGTCAGGACCCACTCTGGAGGAAAGTACGTGACGTCATTCATGACATTCCGGGGTGAAAGCTCGTAGGCACTGTAGTTTCCGGGCAGCTCACTTCTAGACCAGTCCAAGACGAACATCCCAAGTGCAACTGGACAGTACTCATGGGCGGTTTCGGAGAATTTGAGACCCATGCGATGTCCGAGCACGGTTCCTGCCTCATACTCCTCACGAGTATCTTGGCAGTCTGCAATCATCACCACCAGCTCCGCAAACTCCCTTCGGAATTTGTAGCCGATGCGCTTCATCTGCCCAAAGTCAATCAGTGCAACGGTTCCGTCCGGTTTCACGAAGACATTCCCGGGATGAGGGTCTGCATGAAAAAAGCCTTCCTTCATGTAGGGGATGTAAGGGGTAGATAAGGGGTCCCCATTTACGAGACTCTACTTGAAACTCCCCTTAGAGAGGAATCAGGAACCCATGTTACCTATCGGTGCTTTCCGTCCTGTGTACGCCCGAGTTTAGTTTCTTAAATAGCCCCAAACCCCCTAAACCCTAAACCCTACACCCTAAACCCTAAACCCTAAACCCCTCCCCGCTCCCCCCTCCCCCCCCCTCGTCCTCCAGGATCATCGTCCCGAAGGCATCGGTCAGTGAGGCCAAGATCTTGCGCCCAGCCCGAAGCGTCTTCGCGTCGGGCTTCCCCTCAAACGCCGAGACCTTCTTGGCGATCCTTGTGAGGAGGGTTTTTATGTAAAACCCCCCTGGTGCAAAGAGGTGTTTATAAAAACCCTATAAATTTCCTCAAACACCGAGACCTTCTTGGCGATCCTTGCGAGGCAGGATTTCGAAATTTTTGGGGGCTCCCGAGATAAGGTCGGACGGTTTGCTCTCTGAGAGAGTCTGCCCTTTTTGCAGGGTGCAAGGGTCCTGTTGGCAACCCAGAAACAACACGGGCGCAACAACAATGCAGGTCAGTTCACAGGTCAGCCTATGCTTCCTAAAGCCATCTGCGGGTATTGGGGTTCGCAGACTGCAGTAATGAAGTTCACTGTTTGTCTTTGCATTTCGGCACCTGACGAAAAGCATGTAGCAACTGGGCTCTGAGATTCATGTAGATGTTGCTGCTCAAGGGCCTCAATCTAGGCTGAGCTTGATGGCAATTGAGAGCAACTCGAGGTCAGGACAAGTAATCCAGAACCATGAACGCAAGGGTATGTACTTCCCATCTGAAAGGGTCCGAGCGGCTGAGAAAGAGACAGGCCAGGGACAAAGTCCATGCAGAGCACCCGGCTTGACACAAGGCCAGGGATACTCCTTGGCACCACAATGGGCGCCTTCCTCCCATTCTTCAGCATGGCGTCTGCAACACGATCCATGGCGGAGGCCTCGCGGAAGAAGTCGAACTCCTCCTTGAGCTGCGCCTCGAGCTCCGTGAAGACTGCGTAGTAGTCCACGGGAAAGACGCCCCGCAACCTGGCTCATGGTTGGGATAACAATGAAATTTTGATTGTCTATTCCTTATAGGGTTTAAGTACCCTTAAAGATGTAAAATGGTACCCAAGTATAATAAAGCAGCTGCTGCGTCAGGGACTTGATGACGGAGATGTCATCCAGGAGCTGCTCTTCAACGTGAGGTCGCTGCACCTTGATGGCCACTTCTCTGCCACTCTTCCTTATCTTCTCCAATAACCCAGGGAAAAAAGGTTAAACTTTATTCTTCCTACTAAATAAGGAAACCCAAAAAGTTTATAAACTTTAGTTCTTCCTACTAAATTAGGAAACCCAAAAAGTTTATAAAGTTCAGCTGTGGTGAGAGGTGAGTTTCAAAGTTGCCCGGTGCACCTGGGCAATGGAGGCGCTCCCCAAGGGCTCGGGGTCCACATGCTCAAAGACGTCCTCGATCTGGTACCTTGCTGTTTCTTCTTTGGGGTTTAGGGTTTAGGGTTTAGGGTTTAGGGTTTAGGGTTTAGGGTTTGGGGCTTTACGAAAACAGGGACCCCTAAAAAAAGGACCGCCGGATAGTCGGGTTCCCTTCTGATAAGGGCCTTAATAAGGTACCCACAAGTTCGGAAACCACCAGAAATGTGGAAGCCCCCTCTTAACCAAAGAACATCTAGGCGCAATCTTGGTGTGGTCAATTTCTTGTTTGAATACAGCAGCGAAACAAGGGAAGTCAGCTATCGAAGCTCTATATCAGTATGGTCCAGGGCGCCCCTCGAGAAGTTCCTTTTCAATGACCTGGCGCACGACTTCGAAAGAGAGCGGGTTGACAGACTCCACTAAGAAGGTGAGTTCCTTGGAGTACTCGCTTGGAAACAGGTCGACCCGCGTGGCAATCAACTGCCCAACCTTGACATAGAAGCCGTTCATTTCTTGAATGAACTCTGCCAAAGTGGAGGCCCCCTTCTTGTGCATCACACTCCACTCCTTACTTCTTCAATAACCAAGGGGAAAGAAAGGTTAAACTTTATTCCTCCTACTGAATAGGGAAACCCAAAAAGTTTAAAGTTCAACTATTGGCTAAGTAAGATTCATTTGCAAGGCTGCCATCTGGGTCCCATTTCTGTCCAGCAGACTCCGCCGACTCTGTTGCGAGGTATAAGGGGATATATGGTGCCAGCCATTGCCTTTTTGGTAGGTTTGGGGGCCCTATAAAGATTCATTTAAACCTTTATGGCTTTTTAAGGGTTATGCCGGGGATTAAGGAATTCAGGGCAAAAAAAAAAAGAACAGAAAAAGCCGGTGTTCAAACCTGCCCCTAGTTGCGCCGCCGAGGCGTAGCCCCGAATACTCCGCAAGGCGAGCTCCATCTTGGAGGGGGGCTCCCCGATGGAGTCCTCGAGGACTTCCGCGCCCTCCATGAGGCTCTCCTCCCTTGTGTCCTCGTTCTTTTTGTTGAATTTCCCTAAACAACTTGTTGAACGCTAAACCCTAAACCCTAAACCCGTTCTTAAGAAACCCTAAACCCTAAACCCTAAACCCTAAACCCTCTTTGAGAACCCTAAACCCTAGAAACCCTCAACCCCAAACCCTAAGACTCCTTGGGCTCCTTGATCTCCCTGATCTCCAGAGAGCTCTCTGCTTTCTGGAGCTCCTGGGACCTTTAGTAGCTGAGCTTATAAGCCCCAACAAACATGCACACTTTTGTTTAGGGTTTAGGGTTTAGGGTTTAGGGTTTAGGGTTTAGGGTTTAGGGTTTAGGGTTTAGGGTTTAGGGTTATCCCAAAAGGTGTAAAGTGTACTCACTCAGCGACTAAGAGACCCAAGTGCCCTTGATCTCGCTTTGGCCCTCGCCTTGCGGCACTGCTGCCGGATGTGGCACATGGAAGGCAGCAGGAGCATCATGCGCACTGCGCCAAACTGAGCCTCACTTTTCCGTCCCCGTGGAGGGGGCAATGCCCGGCTCTGGGCATGTTGGACGTTCAAGCTCGGAGTGGAAGGAGGCGATGAACATGACCTAACTGTCCGAACTCCGTACATTGCGGAGCTGAGCGTCGTCCCCTGCTACGAGCTTCCACTACCCTGACCAAATGAAGGCGGCCAGAAAACCATGCACAACGGCACAAGGATGCAGATCCCGGTGGATTCCCTCCCACGGCCCAGGGCCCACCACCAACAGCAACTACCAACACCTACTGCTCCTACAGTACTGCTCCTGTTGCTGTTGCTGCTGCTCTTCTGTTGTTCTTGGTGGTGGTGGTTGGTTGTGAGTTGATGTTTGTTGGTTCTTTCTTGCTTGCTTGGCTGGAAGGTTTCTTTGTTGGTTGGTTGGTTGGCTGGCTGGCTGGTTGTTCGGTGCTTGGTGTTTGCTGTTGGTTGTTGCTGTTTGTTGCTGCGGTGTTTCTTCCTTGTGACATCGTCGTTGTTGTCATGGGTGCTGTTGCTCTTGGTGGTGCCGGCTTCTGGCGTGTGCGGTGCTGTTCTTGTCTTCATTGTAGCGGTCAGCATGTCTTGCTGTTCTCTCTGTTGCTCTGAATCTGGCAGCCGCGCCTCAAGCCGCTGCCTGAGCTCTCGCACTGGGTCCATACTTCGGAGCTCTCTGTCGTGAGCCGTCTTTACCCGAAACCCTAAACCCTAAACCCTAAGCCCTAAGCCCTAAGCCCTAAATCCCTAAACCTAGACCCGGCTTCTTGTGAGTGTTTGAGGTGGGCTTCGAGCCCCGTGAATCGTCAGAAGAAGAGCGCCATATGTGACTCCCGGTTTAAAGTGAGCCCTCCTGGGAGTGGCTTAGGGTTTAGGGCCTAGGGGTGTTCGGGGCATCGGAATTTCTAGGAGAAATCTGGCACTCCGTGGTTGATCTTTTACTCACCTAAACCCTAAACCCTGAACCCTTTACCCCTAAACCCTAAACCCTAACCCTAAACCCTAAACCCTAAGCCCTGAACCCTCAACCCTAAACCGAGGAACGCACTGCAACACGGCCGCCACAAGGCCCCCCTTGAGATCGAGCTTCGCAGCTTTTTGCGCCTCAAGTCGGCTCAGGCCCCCCTCCCCTTTCCAAAACCACTACAGAACATTGGTGAGGCTCAACTGCTGTGAGCACGGCCTGGGATGCATTACACGAGCCGAAGAATCTAAGCTTGAACCGAAACCCTAAACCTTAACCGAGGCACTCAACCCTCAAACCTTCAACAAACCCCCCCCTCCCACCCTCCCCCTGCCCCCCCTTCCCCCCCCACCCCCCCTACCCCTGATGGGCTGGCACCCTACGATTCTTGAACCCCACACCCAAAAAACCCTAAACCCCAAAGCGTGAACCTTGAGCCCTAAGCCCTCAATCCTAAACTAACCCTCAACCCTAAACCCCAAACCATAAACCATAAACCCGGAACCCTAAACCCTAAACCCTAAACCCAACCCTTATTGCTTGGGGCCCAGCAACTTGGGCGCTGCGGAATCACCATGCTCACGCGGATGCGCTGGGCCGGGCCGAGGCGGGTCGCGTAGCGTTAAAATTAGCGATGCTGTAGCAGGAAAAGGCTCTTATAGGATGTAACTTCAGCTAAGTTCTAGAGATACCTGTGCGTCCATCACATAAAAAGCGCTGTCGCGCCGGCGCCACCCCGTCGTCGCGCTGATGTCTAGACCCCTCCAGCTGGGCTAAAAAAAACAAACGCACATATCTTTGGAACTTAGATATCATGTACCTCATAGAAGGCACCCGCTCAGGGCTGAAGAATGCACACAAGCGCGAGAAGGTGTGAGACCCTCAACCACAACCGAAGCTATCCGAAACCTTAAACCTAAACCCCAAACCCCAAACCCCAAACCCTAAACCCTAAACCCTAAACCCTAAACCCTAAACCCTAAACCCTAAACCCTGCTCTCCGAAGTCTCCCCGCAGTCCTCTGTTGATTCTCAAGTACCGAAGAGCCCCGCCTCAGCCAGAAGCGGCTTCAGATGTCCTGAAACAGAGAGGGTTTAGGGTTTAGGGTTTAGGGTTTAGGGTTAGGGTTTAGGGTTAGGGTTTAGGTTCAACCAAGGATAGTGAAGCTGGGGCACATGACCAGTCATGGCCATACAGCGCAGCAAACATGCCTTTTGTGTCCATCCGCCACGCCATGGACGGTTGCCGAGACACAGGTCAAGTCTGCGAAGTCAAGGCGACTTAACAACGATACCTCAACAGGTGACAGGATGTGTTAAGCTGGATATTGCTGAATCCTTCTTGGAAACAGAAGGACACCTCGCCAGACGTTGAAGTGCATCCAGGAAGCGGGCAACTTGAAACTGGCAGCCCCTGTCAGAGGTCGGGGGCTTGGGCGTTCATCGACTGTACAATGGCAGTTCCCACGAGCTCTCGATCTCAGTATTCGCTGCGCCTAGCTGCGCTCCACGCAGTTCACTAAGTTAGAATAGCTCTTGTGTGGAGCTCTTGTTCATCTGGCCATTGGACAGAACTTGGCCTTTCGCAGGATTTAGGGAACTTTCAAAGGCCGAAATCGATTTCAAAGATGCACTTTGCACATGCTTTGCACATGGTGCAACTGTACTTGTGTCGAATTGCTGTGTTGGTCTGTGCCAGGGTTTGTGCCTGGCAGGCCCCGAAGGACCAAAGGAAAGCCGAAGCATGTCCAGTAGGACTTCAAATGGAGTCAATTAAATCTCTTTTAAATGGTTTTACGGTTTTTGGTAGAGATTGCAGGCATTAGAGCCAAGTGAGCCATCGTCTACAGCTTGTGATTGGCAAAGTGTTGGCATCCTAAGCCACGCGAGTCAACTCTAGACGACGGCTGAGGTGTAGAACCGTGCCAGCCCGACAATGTCTGTGAGGCCACGTCAGAGGCCTGAAGCTGTGCAATCTAAACCCTACACCCTACACCCTAAATCCTAAACCTTAAGTCAATCCCTAAACAACCCTGGGCTGCCACGTTCTCATATCAGCACTGTTAGCTGATACTAGCTCTGTCATAGGCTGAGACGTTTTTAAATGGTTCGGCAGATCGACTTGTTCTTCTGCCAAGGGCAAACAGAATCTCTCTGAATCTATGGGGGGGTTTACCAAAAAATTAGGGGACCCACTATATACCACCATCATCCACCATCATAGTATGGGATCCCCTCATAATCAGGGCCCAAGGACCCTGTGATTTCGGAAACCCCCATCTGAATCTTGGATGTGTCCAGTCTAAGTACCGGCACCTTTGTCTCTCAAGTCATCGGCTCGGCGACCAAATGCGCTCTTGACCGAGCATCCAAGGCTGATCAATCGTGCTAACATGACTGCTCTACTTACTGCAAACCGCATGTGTCTTTCAACGAGGCACCCTCGTTTGGCTGGCTCCCTCCCATCTCGAGCCAGGATGGGTCAGACCAGTTCCTATACTGAACTTGGAACACTAGCTAAAATTACAAATTCAGCTGTTTCTTAGGAATTAAAGTGCCCAGAGAAAAAGAAAAAGGTATTTCCAAGTGTCTCTAAGGTTCTGGGGCTCTTCGGATTCTTTGCTCTCTTTTCCTTCGAAGCGCTGCTTGCAAAGGTCACGGACCTCCTGCATCATCTCCCCAAGGAAGTCATCGGGATCACGAGGGCCTGTGGTCACTGACTTTATCCAAAGCGTCCCGTCGCTGTCATACATGAAGTCCCCGACATTGGAAACATCATCCTCATCCACCTCTGTGCCGTACTTGAGCGCATAAAGCTGCTTCACTTCTGCCAACTTCTGCTCAAGTCGCTCCACACGGCAGTCGCGGGGAACGCCAGTACCCTGGGTCACATTCCAGGCAGTGCCATCCTCATCATACTCCGTGTCCACATCGCGACCATACTTTTGGGAGTACATGTCCTTGACAGCCAACAGCATCTTCTCCAGCTTGTCCACGCGGCTGTCCGTGGGAATGCCTGTGCCGGTGGTCTGGATCCACGGAGTACCATCAGCATCGTACTGGACATCGTCATCCTCATCCACCTCTGTGCCGTACTTGAGCGCATAAAGCTGCTTCACTTCTGCCAACTTCTGCTCAAGTCGCTCCACACGGCAGTCGCGGGGAACGCCAGTACCCTGGGTCACATTCCAGGCAGTGCCATCCTCATCATACTCCGTGTCCACATCGCGACCATACTTTTGGGAGTACATGTCCTTGACAGCCCACAGCATCTTCTCCAGCTTGTCCACGCGGCTGTCCGTGGGAATGCCTGTGCCGGTGGTCTGGATCCACGGAGTACCATCAGCATCGTACTGGACATCGTCATCCTCATCCACCTCTGTGCCGTACTTGAGCGCATAAAGCTGCTTCACTTCTGCCAACTTCTGCTCAAGTCGCTCCACACGGCAGTCACGGGGAACGCCAGTACCCTGGGTCACATTCCAGGCAGTGCCATCCTCATCATACTCCGTGTCCACATCGCGACCATACTTTTGGGAGTACATGTCCTTGACAGCCAACAGCATCTTCTCCAGCTTGTCCACGCGGCTGTCCGTGGGAATGCCTGTGCCGGTGGTCTGGATCCACGGAGTACCATCAGCATCGTACGGGACATCGTCATCCTCATCCACCTCTGTGCCGTACTTGAGCGCATAAAGCTGCTTCACTTCTGCCAACTTCTGCTCAAGTCGCTCCACACGGCAGTCACGGGGAACGCCAGTACCCTGGGTCACATTCCAGGCAGTGCCATCCTCATCATACTGTGTCCACATCGCGACCATACTTTTGGGAGTACATGTCCTTGACAGCCAACAGCATCTTCTCCAGCTTGTCCACGCGGCTGTCCGTGGGAATGCCTGTGCCGGTGGTCTGGATCCACCATCAGCATCGTACTGGACATCGTCATCCTCATCCACCTCTGTGCCGTACTTGAGCGCATAAAGCTGCTTCACTTCTGCCAACTTCTGCTCAAGTCGCTCCACACGGCAGTCACGGGGAACGCCAGTACCCTGGGTCACATTCCAGGCAGTGCCATCCTCATCATACTCCGTGTCCACATCGCGACCATACTTTTGGGAGTACATGTCCTTGACAGCCAACAGCATCTTCTCCAG